TGGGCAAATGATATGGAAAGGAACACTACCACCAAAGAAATGAAAATAGCCAACAATCATATTTCCAGAGGAGGGATGAGATGCTTAAACTCAATAAGATGACTCATAAAATATGAATCAAAGTAGTAAATATAAATCAAAACAAGATCTTTCACTCATTAGGTTGCCAAAACATTTATAAACTGATTATGAAGTCCTGAGAAGAATATAAAAAGAAAGGTAGTCCTCATACTCTTCATAGACTGCCAGCAAGAAGGTAAAACTCAACAACATTCTGAAAAGTAATCTGGCAGGATCTATAAGATTTAAAATGCACATGCCCTCTGACCCAGCAATTCCACTTTCAGGATGATCCTACTAAAATTAAAAAGGCTAGTACATTAAGACATTTGATAAAGAACACATAAAATCTTTTTTCTTATAAATTGATCTAATGGATAAGTTTGTTAAAAGTAATAATTGCAAAACATTTGCTGATTATAACTGATAAAAAAGTGAAATGAATGACAGCAATGTTATAAGGGACCAAAGAGTAATTGGGAATACTCTTATAAGGTCCTTGTACTACCTGTTAAGTGAACCAGTGTTATTTGAAAGAGGACTTAGTCTATAGCCATACCACTCTGAACACCCACAAACTCATCTGAAAAAGGTCTTAATGGAACTAAAAGTATGTAATTAGTAATTATAAATAATTCTGTTGTAAAGGTATATTACAAACTTTAGGATTACCACTAAAAAGAGTGGTTTTTAGTGTTTTTTTAGTGGTTTTTTAGGATAACCACAAAAAAGAAGTAAAATTGATATACTAGGAGAGGAGAGAAAATAGAATCACATAAAATGCTCAAGGCCAGATAAAGCAGAAAGCGTAGAAGACAAAAGAAAACAAGAACAAGGCACTAAGGTGCTCACATGGTAGTAATATTAATTGGGTACTGGAGGGTAGAGGTGGGTAAACTCACAACTAATGGACACGGTGAGCATTGTATGGGGAAGGGCCCGTCTCTAATCCTGGCTTGGGTGAGGCAAAGTCATAACATGTAATCAAAATGTTTGTACCCCCATAATATCCTGAATTTAAAAAATAAATTAATTTAAAAAAAGAACAAAAGCAACAAATAAAGAACAGTAACAATTATGGTAGATATGAATCCAATTATACCAGTAATTACATTTCAAAGTTTTAAATAGATAAATTAAAAGATATAGACTGTCAAAGTGGATTAAAAAACAAGATGCAACAATATGCTATCTATAAGAATCCCACTTTAAACACAAAGACACAGATAGATTAAAAGTAGAAGGATAGAGGAAAGATATAACATGCTAATAATGATCAAAATAAAGGTGGAGTAGCTATATTAATTTCAGACAAAGCAGACTCCAGGGCAAGGAAAATTATCAAGGATAAAGAGAAACATTACATAATAATAAAGGGATCAATTTTCCAAGAAGATATAATAATCCTTAAGGCTATGCACCTAACAAAGCATCGAAATATGTAAAACAAAAACTGATATAACTGTGGGGAGATTTAGATAAATTCACTAATACACTTCTAGATTTCACCATACATCTATTAAAAATTGACAGTAAGAACAAAGTGAAACTGAACAGCACCATTAATCAACTGGATATAATTGACATCTATGGAATACTTTATCAAGCAATAGCAAAATATACATTATATAAGCTCTCACAGAACATTCACCAAGATAACACATTCTGGGCCTTGAAACATACTTATGTTTTATGGGCCCTAAACTTAAATTCATAGAACTTATACAAAGCATGCTCTCTCAGATCTATAAAAATACATGGGGCAAAAGAAATCTACAGGGAAAACTAAAAATATTTTAAACTAAATAAAAAATGAAAATATAATTCATCAAAACTTGTGAGATGCAGTAAAAGCAGTTGCTCAGAAGGAAATTGATAGCATTAAACGTATATTTATTATAAAAGAAAGATCTAAACTAATTATCTAAGCTTCTACCATAGAAAACTAGAAAAATAAGAGCAAATTGAATCTAAAATAAGCAGAAGAAAAATTAGAAATTAATGAAATTGAAAACAGGAAATCAGAGAAAAAAACAAAACCAAAAACTAGTTTTCTGAAAAGAGCAGTAAAATTGATAAGCATCTAATCAAGTTAACTAATAAAAAGAAAGAAGACAGATTAGTAATTAGACAAATATAAAAAATGAAAAATGGGGCCATCACTACCTATATCCCAGCGACATTAAAGTATATTATGAACAACTCTACGCCCACAAATTTGTTAACTAGATAAATGGACCAATTCCTTGAAAGACACAATCTGCCAAAACTCACTTTAAAACAAATAGACAATCTGAATAGGCCTATATCTATTAGAGAAATTGACTCACTTAATAACCTTCCAAAATACAAAACATCAGGCTGAAATGGATTTATTGGTGAATTCTATCAAACATTTAAAAAAAATTATACCAGTTTCCTTAATCTTTTTCATAAAATAGAAGCAGAAGGAATATTAAGAGGCCAGCATTCCAATAACACCAAAACTGGAAAAACACATTACAACTAGAGAATGATATCTCTCATGGACATGGAGGCAAAATCCTTAATAAATAATAACCAATAAAAACCAACAATGTACAAGGAGAATTATACACCATGATAATCCAGACTTATTCCAGGTATATAAGACTGGTTCAAAAAATCAATTAATGTAATCCAATATAATATAATCTAATGTCATGTAATCACATCAATAAGCTAAAAAAGAAAAAGAACATTTATTGCAGTGTTATTTATGAAGGTAATATCCTATATACAACCTAATGTTCATTAATAAGGGAAATGTTTGAATAAATTATGGTAAAATCATACACAAAAGTATAATAATCTATAAACATTATTTTGTGCTCACCTAGGAAAATGCCCATGGTTACCAAAAAAAAACATCAAATTACAAGGTAATGTATAAAATATGATATCATTTTTTCACACACCTATAGTGAACTCATTTGTAACAAAGGTGCCAAAAACATACATTGGGGAAAGAACAGTTACTTCAAAAAATGGTGCTAGGAAAACTGGACACTTGTATGAAGAATGAAACTAGATCCCTATCTCTTGCTATATACAAAATCAAATCAAAATAGATGAAAGATTTAAATCTAAGACCTCAAAGTATGAAACTTCTAAAAGAAAACATTGGGGAAATTCTTCAGGACATTGATCTGGGCAAAGACTTCTTAAATAAGACCTCAAAAGCACAGGAAACCGAAGCAAAAGTAGACAAATAAGATCCCATCAAGCTGTTGCACAGCAAAGGGAACAATTAACAAAGACGAGAGCACGAGACAACCCACAGAATGGGAGAAAATATTTGGAAATTACTCATCTGGCAAGGAATTAATAACTACGATATATAAACAACTCAATAGGAAAACAAATCAAATGATCCTATTTAAAATGGACAAAAGATTTGACTAGACATTTCTCAAAAGAAGACATAAATGGCCAATAGATATATGGAAAAAATGCTCAATATCCTTAGTCATCAGAGAAATGCAAATAAAAACTACAATGAGATATCATTGCACCCCAGTTAAAATGACTCTTATCAAAAAGACAAAACAAACAAAAAAATGCTACCGAGGATGCAGAGAAAGAGGAGCACTTGTGCGCTGTTGCTGGGAATGTAAATTAGTGAAACTACTGTGGAGAACAGTATGGAGGTTCCTCAAAAAACTAAAAATAGAATTACCATATGACCCAGCAATCCCACTGCTAAGCATATATCCAAAAGAAGGGAAATCAGTACATCAAAAAGATATCTGCACTCTCATGTTTACTGTAGCACTATTCACAATAGCTAAGATTTGGAATCAACCTAAGTGTTCATCAATGGATGAATGGATAAAGAAAATGTGGTACATATACATGATGAAATATTATTCAGCAATAAAAAGGAATGAAATCCTTTATTTGCAACATGGATGGAATTCGAAAACATTATGTTAAGTGAAATAAGCCAAGCACAGAAAGATAAATCTCTCATGTTCTCACATACATGGGAGGTAAAATTTAAAACAATTGATCTCATGGAAACAGAGTAGAATGATGAACCAGAGGCTAGGAATAGTAGCAGAAAGGAGGGATCAAGTGGAAATGATTAATGGATACAAAAATATAGTTAGACAGAATGAAAAAGTTTTAATATTTGATAGCACAACAAGGTGACTACAGTCAACAATAAGTTACTGTATACTTTAAAATAACTAAAAGAATGGAAGTGGAATGTTCCTAATACAAAGAAATGATAAGTGTTTGAGATGAAGGATAACCCTAATTATCCTGATTTGATTATTATACATTGTATGCCTATATTTAAACATCACATATACCCCATAAATATATACAACTATTATGTACCCATATTAAAAAATTAAAAAATTAAAAAAAAATCACCCCATAGTTGCAGGCTTGAGGAATTATTTCCATTTGATTAATCAATATGTAAAAATAAATATGATAGAATTTTTGTAAAAAGGAGATAAAAATAGGTATGTCTGTTTGTACATATGTTTGGAGGTTTGTCTAATACATGGCAGTATAACCACGGAGAAAGTCTAGAAGCCTAAACTTCAAAACATTACCATTGGTTAAGTGAAAAAATAGAATTAGATAAGGAAGAAGAAGGGAAAATAGTTAGCTTCCCCTTTGTGCACCTTTCTTTAGTTTTACTTGAATCTATTGTGTGTGGCTTTCAAAATCTGCAAGAGAAAATACAAGGGAGGAGGAAATGGGGCTGGGGAGAAGACTCTATCCAGAGTGAACCCTCCTATTCTTATTTTGAAATTACAGACATCAAGGACCACCCTGCCAGCATAATCCATAATCCTGATTAACTCTTAAATTTTTTGAAGATCATTTAATCTGTTATTAGTGGCTAGTCAGGAAACCCATACTTGGAATTGTTATTCCAGATTTCAAATGCAGATACATACCTTTCTTCTTCTGAAGAGTTCATATTTTCTCCATAAAGAAGTAAAATAAGTCCTTCTTCTACAGATGCAATTCTTGCCAAGATATCAGTTATATGAATCAAAGCTGTCTCAGAACAATTTGGAGCAGCCTGTCCATTAAAAAGATAACAAGACAAATCATATAATTTTATGACATGCTAACATATCACAGAATAAATTCAAGGGTGGGATGTTGTCTAGTAAAGTTATATTACCATCACCACAACAAAAAAACTTAATGATTTGTTTGGCTGTGAAGTAATATGTCTGAATTAAATGTGTCATTAGATTATATTCTTTTATTGGCACAGTTCATGAGGCAAATAAATATACATTTTTCACCCAAACTAGTTATTGAGAATTGCTGCTCCTATTACAGTTTTATACATAATTCTGGTTGACAATGAAATCATTCTTCTGTTTCCATTTTGTCCTTTATTTCCCATCTACTAGGTCCTTGTGAATCCAATATATTTATATGTAGCACCTAATACACCACCATCCTTTCTAAGGGATAACTCATTCCCCTTATACCTCTGATTTGGTCATGAATATACATCTAGGAACAATCAATTCACAGGCTGGCTAACAGCTAATAAGGTCACTCCATGAGAAAACAAAAGACTAGATCAACTATATTTCCTCACTTTTGATTTTAAATGGAAGTACTAAAATACTTTTGCCAATATATACCAAAATAACACTAAGCAAATATTAAAAACTAGAGAACTATGTTAATGATGTTACAATACTATAATTCCTATTCTTTCTGAGGTCTGCTTATTTACTCATACCTGCATGAATGCCAATGTATGTATTCTCTATGACAAATATGAAAATGTATATGTTGCAACCAATACATTCTACTAATAATAAATTTGGTGGGCTAGCTTAATAAATGAGTCAGGTATATCCACCTAAAGAAGAAGAAACCCTAATTATATTAGACAGTTTATTACTTTTCATACTAAATATGTTTCTTAAAACCAACTTCTCTACTTAGAATATTTTCCTTCTCTCATATACATGAGTGTATATACATATTTTCTGTTATGTACATATATACACAAAAAACACATAAATACAATTTTTTGGAACTCTCCTCATTTAAAATTTTTTTTTCTTTACAGGTCTGCCTCTCCTATTAGAATAGGCTCCTTAATGGCAATAAACATGTCCTATTCACTTCCATATTTGCAATACTCAGCACAGAGCTAATGACATAGTAGTAGCCCAATGGGTGATACTAGATGTCTAAAATTAGATACTAAATGTCTACTTTGTGCCAGAGGGCTACTCTCAAGAATAAGTAATTCAGACATAATATAAGTATAATTACACAAGTATAAAACGTAGGAATATAGAAGGAGAAAGAAAAAAACACCTAACTTTACAAAGAAGAATGAGGGAAATTTCAGAGATAAACTCCAGTCTGAAGAGGAACTTTTCATGTGGACCAAGTTTAAGACTTTCCAGGGTAAGGGAAAAAGTGTACAAACACAGGGTGATATAATAATTTTATTTACAAAATGCAAATTGTCAGTTATTACTAGGATATCTGAAAAATAAAGTCATAAGAGCATAAAAAATTTGGTAAATGCCAAGTTAAAAATTTCTAAATTATCCAGCAAGAGACAAGCAAAAAAAGTATGTGACAGCCTATTGAGGGGTGAGCATAAGAGGAAGATGAAACCAGTAAGAACACTACAAAACAGAAATGAAAAGACAAAAAGTTGTAGCCTAATAATAAGCTTTAAAAGTCAGTGCCCAGAAGCTTCAGTCATAGAAGTAGAGGGATACATTGGACAGCAGGACTAGCAACAGTACCAACTCTGCCACTAATTAAATGTCTGACTTTGAACACGTCACTTCTTTCAGGCTCAGTTGTGATGATTAAATTATATAATGTAAGGGAATATACTGTGCAAACTGTGCATCCTGTGCATATATATGCAAAGAGACATGAATCTATTCAAAACTGGGATTGTATATAAGCTTTCTTTGTAAAGTAACACTAGTCCTTCTTAATATAAACCAAAGTTGCCTCTTCAGAAAAATAAAGATATTTCCAAAGGCTATAAAAATGCCATTAAAACAAATAAAACATCCACAAGATTTATTAGATTTGCAAGACAAGTAACTTCTTAATAGAATAACTTTCGTAAGTTCTTGGTATCATCAGATCTAAGCCTGATTAGAAAACAAAAATTAAGATGTTGTATACACTTTCCCCCTACACTGTCATAACTAATAAATCAAACTATATAAATTATGACTTAACAAATAAAAATCTGTATCAGCACAAAATATATTTATAGAGTAATAAAATATTACAAATATATCAAATTTAGAAATAAAGTACCATTGAATATTCACTAATACGCAAGTAACAGACTCTTTTTCTCTTCAGTAAATAATACCAACCTCACTTCCTTTCATTAAATTATGAATAGGTTGAAGAAGGGTCTCTATCACAGTGTTGTTACATAAGCATTCGATTGCACATTCTTTTTGATCACAGAGTATCCGAAGAACTTCAGTCACCATATTTCCAGGAGAGTAATTCTCTGATAAACGATAATTATTTTTAAAAATCAAAACATTACTTAGAACTACTTTGATTTAAGTGTTAGCTAAAGTTGTTGCAAAAAGTTCATCATCAGCTCCCTCCCTTTCTCTACTGTTCTGCCCCCTCCCTTAGTTTAAAAAAAAATTCAACATCAAAATTAAATCAATAATTCAAAAGTCACACAATTCAATGCTCAAAGGATGTATTACCAAATTATTATCTGAAACTTAAGGGAATCTTAATTAGCTCAACATATCTTGAAAGTTAATAAAAAGCAAGCAAATGAAAATAAATACGAATGCTAAAAGAATATAAGATCATTTACTGTTTGACATTAAATGACTTCTTAATATTGAGGATATGGTTTAAAATAAATGTACAACTTTTATATATATATAAAATGAATTTTATTACTCATTTTATTAAATAATGTATTCAGGTAGAGCCAAGTAGAAAATTAAATGAGAGTTGATAGGCAAAATAGAAGGCAAAAGAAAATTGAAACTTTCATGAACTTTTATGGAGACTAGTATACTTCTTATGTTACCATAAAAGCAATGAAAACAATGAGCATTTTTAAGATTCTCTTTTACAATACAGTATATACAGGAAAACATAAATACACAAATGTAACATGGTTGGAACAGTCCTTGGACCAAATGATTTTTAGTTTCCTAAATTAACATATTTTCAGACATCTGATCTAATAGTCTCAAAACAATAATGTTTAATGTAAAACTGCCCTAGTAAGGGATAATACTAAAACTAAGATCAAAGTTCTTAATATATGTTACAATATTCCATACTCTATAAACATGCCGACTTCCAGTCAATATCTGACAAAAAGAAAATGAAAAAGTTCAGTGTTTTTTCAACCATCTCCAGATGAGAAACCATTTGATGAGCATATGGCCATTCATCCAACCATCTACTATTTATTGAATGCTTACCATGTGCCAAACAATGTATTAGGCACTGTAGACAGAGAAGTGAATAACACAAAACAGTCTACCAGATGGATACTAACAAGTAAGCATAACAAAGAAGGATGATTTTCATCATAGGGAAGCATAGCATATTGTAGGAATATACAGCAGGGGGACTTTAGGTAGTACTTTATACAGATTAATGCTGTAAGGCAGAAAAAAAAGTCTGAGACACACTGTTAGAATCAATAGGATACTATAATGGCATAAATAAAACCTATTAGTTGACAGATATATTACAGCACTAAGATATAGCCAAAAATATTTTTTTTATTCACTTGAGTTCCTCTCAGAATTTGTGCCAGCAATTCTAGGGTATTTCCTAGTTTTATAAAACTGAGTCAGTGTATTGGTATGTTTTACTTCAGAAACTTTTGATATTCAAAGGAAAAAGTATAAGTTATCTTTTAAATTTTAATTTTTATAACATTTTTATAAGGCAGTCAAAAGCCATAAGACTATCACTGTTTCCCTCTCATCTAAAAAAAAAAGGGAGAAGGAGAAGGGAGAAAGGGAGAAAGGGAAAAGGGAGAAGGGAGAAGGGAGAAGGGAGAAGGGAGAAGGAAGAAGGAAGAAGGAGAAGGAGAAGGAGAAGGAGAAGAAGAAGAAGAAGAAGAAGAAGAAGAAGAAGAAGAAGAAGAAGAAGAAGAAGAAGAAGAAGGAAGAAAGCCATAAGACTAAAAGGCATTTTACTAAAAAACTAAAAGTATTTTCTCCTTTATCCTTCAATAAAAGAAGACCCTGAAAAAGACTACAGTTTTGGATATGAGCCAAAACAAGTGAGCTGATCAAAATACCCTGGAAAGTATAAAGGATAGAAAACAACAAAAAGAGCATATTAGGACCTATTAGTCAAACTTTCTTTAATATCATTTGAGAACATTTTTATCTTAATAAAGAATAACATTAAAATTCTCAGCAAAATTGATTCTAAATAAAAAGGTAGTAGATTAGAAACATCTTAAAACATCAATGAACAAAACTAAATTTCATGGCTTACTTCAGGACCAATGTAATTTCTTATGAATAATACCGTATCTTAATGAAACGATTTACCAAACTAGGTCAGTCACTCAAAATATGCAGACAATAGAATACTTAAATATTTTTAGATGTTTTCTATTTTTCTATTTAAAATAGAAGCAGAATTACCTGAATGTACAACTGATGTCATCTTTGCACAACTTGGTGAATAATAGATAAGTTGGATAAATAGAACCAGAAGGTCTGTAAGGGATACTGAATCTTTAAAAAGGAAAGAATAAAATTAATTTCCAACATACATCCACTTACAACTTAGTAAAATTTAACTGAGTTTCCATCCACTTATATGATTGAGTTTTCATAGAGACTATGGTGCAATCAGGCAGAAGGGACTGATACTTCAATACCAAAGACTCCAGAACAAATTAAGCACAGTAAGGTAAAAGACAGAAAAGCAAGTGATGCAATAGGTGCTGTCTGAGGTACAGCTTTACCATTTACTTAAACCAATCACTTAATATAAACCTATAATAGGAAGATGTTTGAATCTGATCATGGCTGTTTTGAGTTTAATGAATTAGGAGTAGTAAAATTCAGCTTAACATGTTGATCCAGCTAACTTATCTATACAGTACTATAGAACAAGAGTCAGCATACTTTTTCTGTAAAGGAATATATAGTAAATATTCTACATTTTGTGGCTAAATGGTCTCTGTCACAAATACTCAAGTGAGCTGTTATAGCTTTAAGTAGACATAGATAATATGCTAATGAATGAATATGGCTGTTTTCCAATAAAACTGCAGTGAAATTCATATTCAATAATTTAGAAATTTTTTATAAGAGAAAAATTATAAATTTAACATGGATATACAGGAACCCTCAGTAAATGAGGATTCCTAAATTATAAAAACTATTCTTAGTTTACAAGTGTATAAACTAGATAGTGGGCCAGCTTTGGCCTATGAACTATGTTTAACAACCCTTGCTACAGAAGCTTACATTACATTAAAAGAGTATGGTGAAACTGCATGTGAAACAAAGGAAAATGTTAATCTACGCTAATATAGTAGAATGGAACTCTTCAAAACTCAGTTTTGAGATGATCTGTGAGACCTGGTAGGCCAAAACAAACATGTTAAAAGTCAACATAAAATACTAAATTACAGATGATAGACATATAAACTTAAGTTGAATACTTGCCATAACATCACAAGTATACATTAGTCTTTCTATTTCTGTAAAGTTCAATAACATCCTACAAAATGGCAGCTCTTCTATTGAAAATCAATTATCTGAGTAGTCATTATGCCTAGAATCATATGGTACAACCATGGAAATTACAAGAGATATATATATAAGGCAATGACTTCTCAAGAAGCTCATGATCAACTGGGAAGAAAAGATTTAATCAAAGGAAAAGGTACATGGGGTAAAGTCCAGAGCAAGTCAGGTGTAAGCTTCTTAGTGTCCCATTCTGGTCAAATCACACAGAATAGAACTTAATCCTTCCAGCAACAAATTATGACACGCATGTGAAATGTTGTCTATCGAATGTTGTCTATGAGAAAAGCTCATAGAGACCCAGTACCCTAGCTTGTTATTGGAGGCTGAGCAAATAAGCAGACTCTGCCTGGCACATACCAAAATTCTAAACTGCTGTAAGGAAAGCATGTGTTTAGCATAAATCACATTGTTTGTACAAACAGTTGGCACTCACCAGTTCTGGAAATAATAGGAATTTCAAGTTTCCAGATGCCAGCCAAGAGGCAACCTTGCAAGCAAGCCTTTCTAAGACAGCAGTCTCAGGTCAGTTATGTTAACTCTTTTGCACACACATGCACATACACACAGAATATACAGAGACAGTATGTGGCCCACAAAGCCCAAAATATTTACTATCTGGCCCTTTACAGAAAAAGTTTGCCGATCCCTACCCTATACTAAATTCTTAGTGTATATATTCTTTGTATATGTGTGTGTGTGTATATATATATATATTTTTTTTTAAAGTTTTAAATGAAGTAAGAATAACAACTAACAGCATGTGCTGAAGTTTGATGGGGAAAAATATCAAATGAGACTTAAGGTAAAAATAATACGGTAATATATCAAATGGTACAGGGCTTTTCAGTTTATAAAACTTTATTCACAAACCTCATCTCTGTGATCACAAAAATAAGTCCAGTATCACCAATATCAACACTCAGATTTTACAGATAATAAAACTACAACAACAAAGGTTAAGTGATATGCCTAAAAGATCACAGCTAGATGATTGTGGAACCAAAATTTAAACAAGGTCTAGTTCTGAATCCAGATCTGGATCATCAAGTATGTCTAGGATTTCAAATGCGAGAGAGAAATAAGGAAGCACTAAAGGCTAGGGGAATAGAAAAAGAAACTATTCATATGGGAAGAAGTACATACTGAAATCTAAAAGAAAAAAATAACTTCAAGACACATAAGATATAGACTAAAAGATATATAGCCAAGTATCTTAGAGAAGAACATGCCGAAATTCCAAGTTTGAATAATCCGTAGCATATAAATCTTACCATATCTCAACATATTCATTTCTCTCAATTGCACTTACCTTTCCTATTCTTCAGCTTTATAGGAAATAGTTTTCTGCCTTGTGTATAGACCAATAATCTTCCTAAAAGGCACACTGAATGAATGAAATAAATGTATTGTAATTCTTGTCCTAAGTAGTAGAAAGTTCTCTGGTTGTTTCCTTAAAAAAGAAGCAAACAAGAACATTTATTTTAATGACATCATATTTTACAGTACCTGTCTTTATTCCATTTGAAACATTAAACAAGTTTGTAGTCTATAATGGAGACACTGTTGGTGTAAATTTTCAAAAACTATTTTCCTTATTGTTTCCTAAGATTTTTCACACTAAATCTCTGAAGAAAAGTAGCCATCATAAAATTTGGCAAACTTCAGAAAAGTAAAATATGCATTCCAAAATGGCCGGGTGCAGTGGCTCATACCTGTAATCCCAGCACTCTGGGAACCTGAGGTGGGAGTATGATTTAAGGCTAGAGGTTCAAGAACAGCCAGGGCAACATAGTAAGACCCTGTCTCCACACACCAAAAATAAAATAAATTAGCAGGGCATACTAGCACATGACTGTAGTCCTAACTACTAGGGAAGGTGAAGCTGGAGGATTCCTTGGGCCCAGGAGTTTGAGGTTACAGTAAGCTATGATCATGCCACTACACTCCAGTCTGACCTACAGAGCGAGATCCTGTCTCTAAAAAAAAAATTACAATAAATTATAAAGAACAAATATTGTTTTAGATTTTCTAATAAAAAGCCATTCTCACAGGGGTAAGGTGATACCTCATTGTGGTTCTAATTTGCATTTTCCTGATGATTAGTGAAATTGAGTTTTTCATATGCTTATCGGCCATTAGTCTATCTTCTTTTGAGAAGCTTCTATTCATGTCTTTTGCTCACTTTTTATTGGGGTTGATTTTTTTTTCTTGCTGATTTGCTTGAGTTCCTTCTAGATTCTGGTTATTAGCCCTTTATCGGATGTATAGCTTGCCTGTATTTTCTTCCATTTTGTAGGATGTCCATTTGCTCTGTTAATTATTTCCTTGGCTGTGCAGAAGCTTTCTAATTTAATTAAGTCCCATTTATTTATTGTTGTTGTTGCTGTGATTGCCATTGGGGTCGTCTTCATAATTTTTTCCCTAACCTAGTAAGAGTTTTTCCGACATTTTCTTCTCGAGTACTTATGGTTTCATGCCTTACATTTAAGTTCTTTATCCATCTTCAATTAATTTTTGTGAATGGTGAGAGATATGGATCCTGTTTCATTCTTCTGCATGTGGCTATCCCAATTTTCCCAGCACCATTTATTGAATAGGGATTATTTTCCCCAGTGTATATTGTTGTCATCTTTGTCAAATATCAGTTAGCTATATGAGGGTGGTTTTATATCTGGGTTTTCTGTTCTGCTCCATTAGTGTATTTCTCTATTTTTGTGCCAATGTCATGCTGTTTGGTTATTATATAGTCTTGTAGTATAGTTTGAAGTCTGGTAACGTGATGCCTCCCGATTTGTTCCTTTTGCTTAAGATTGCCGTGGCTATTTGGTCTGTTTTCTGGTTCCAAAAGAAGCATAGAATTATTTTTTCTAGATTTGTGAAATAAGACATTGGAATTTTGATAGGGATTGCACAGTGTGTCTGTAAATCACTTTGGGTAGTACAGACATTTTAACAAAGTTGATTCTGTTGATCCATGAGCACAATACATTTTTTTCCATTTCTGTCATCTGCAGTGTCTTTCCTCACTGTTTCCTGGTTCTCTTTTTAGAGATCTTACATCTCTTTAACCTCTTTGGTTAAGTATATTCCTAGGCATTTTATTTTCTTTGTAGAAATTCTGAATGGTGTTGAGTCTTTGATTTGACTTTCAGCCCCACTGGTATTGGTGTATAGGAATGCTACTGATTTGAGTACACTGATTTTGTAACCTGAGACTTTGTCGAATTTATCAATAGATAATTGATAAATTATCTGCACACAGAGAGAAAGGAACGCTTATATACTATTGGTGGGACTGCAAATTATACAACCTCTATGGAAAACAGTATAGAGATTCTTCAAGGAACTAAAATTAGACCTACGATTTGATACAGCAATCCTACTACTGGGTGTCTACCCAAAGGAAAAGTCATTTTATCAAAAAGACACCTGCATTCGAATGTTTATTGCAACACAATTCACAATTGCAATGATGTGCAATCAACCCAAATGCCCATCAATTCATGAGTGGATTAACAAAATGTGGTATATATATACCAAGGAATACTATTCAGCCATGAAGAAGGATGACTTAACTCCTTTTGCAGCAATTTGGTTTTATTTTTTAATTTTCTTTTTTTTTTTTAATTTCAGCATCTTATGGGGGTACAAATGTTTAAGTTACATATATTGCCTTTGCTTCACCTTTTGCACTAATTTGGATGGAACTGGAGACCATTATCCTAAGTGAAGTATCTAAAGCAGGAATCCCCAACCTATGGTGAGTTGTATAATTATTTCATTATATACTACAATGTAATAATAATAGATATAAAGTGCACAATAAATGTAATGCACTTGAGTCATCCCAAAACCATCCCCCTGCCCAACCCCAGTCCATGAAAAAACTGTCTTCTATGAAAATGGTCTCTTGTACCAAAAAGATTGGGGACCGCTGATCTAAAGAATGGAAAAAGAAACACCACATATACTACTAAATCACAACTAACTGATGAACACACATGTGCACAGAGGGAATTAAAATTCAATGGAATTCAAGCAGGGAGTTGGGGGGAAGGGATGTACCTAACAGGTACAATAAACACTATATGGGTACTCGGTGACAGGCACACTTTTAATCAAGCATTAGAAATGTGATCCATGTAAACAAAAACATTTGTACCCCATAATACTTTGAAATAAAAATAAAATATTATCACAAAAAAGAATGGTTAAATAAATGTAATAAATTAGTTGTCATTTACTGAATGCCTATTTAAAGAGAACACTGTATAAAATGTATACACAATAGAGAAAGAAGAGAAAAACTGATCAAAGAAAGGTTCTTTAAGGAATATGTCTATTAATTATATACATGAACTGCACAGAAACTACCATAAGACTGCCAAAGTTATCATCTGTCAAATATGGACTTCAAAAGTTAAAGGAGAGAGAAAAATCAATAGAAAATATTAATGTTTAATTCTGCAATTAAAAGCCAATCCTACAAAAGATCATATTTAGAACCATGTATCCAAATAAAAATCTAAACTACAGACAAATTCCAACACATATTCTTCATTCACTCATTCACCCGTGTAATTTAAGGTCTATTGAGTACCTATTTTATAAAAGATCCTAAAAACTGCTATCAAAAACCAATAACTGGGTCTCCAATTCCAGAGTATGGCAAATAGCCTGGTATGAACAAAGCCTGGGAGGATGAGTGAGAGAGATAAAAGGCTAGAAGGCACAGATTATGGAAGACTTCGCCTCAGAAGAAATTTAGACTTTATTATAGATGTAATTGGGACGATATTACAGGGTTTTAAGCACAAAAGTAACAATCAAATATACTTTGTTGAAAACTGACTCTGATGGCAGTGTAAAAGTGGATGAAAGAAGGTCAAAGTTTGAAATAAGAAGGCCTATTAAGAAAATCATGAACAAAAACATTAGCATAATCAATAGAGCCCTGACTTCAGCATTGTACAATGTATCCATGTAACAAAAACATCTGTACCCCTTAATATTTTGAAATAAAATTTAAAAAATAGGAATAGAGAAGGGGAGACAGACAAGACCTCCTGTGCAGCCTCCGGCTCTAGGTGCAACCAATTCCAGGTTGAAGGAGGCAGAAGGGCTCAGCTGCCACCTGTTGGAGACAATGTTTCTATAAAGGAGAGGAGAAGAGATGGTATGAGAATGTCAGCCCTCAACTGAGAGCCATTTGTATGGAGGGCTAGCCTCCATTCCGGCTGAATGAGTACATTTCCACTTGATTTAACCAAAGCACAACTCCAGATTCAAGGCAAGATGAATGATGTAAACTTTAAAGAAATTAAAGAAATGTTGCATGCATTAGTGAGGATAGGCAGAGAAGAAGGGCTGAAATCCCTATATTCAGGGATTGTCCCTGACATATTACACCAGAAGTCCTAAGACACCATCAAGATAGGCACTTACTAGTCCCTGAAGTGATCATTTGTTGAATGCCTAGAAGATCAAATCTTACCAATGTATGTCATATGTTGAATTTTCTCTGAAGTCATATCTTCAACCGTTACTAATCCAACTGATGTTTTGAAAATACAGATACAAGCACAAAGCAACACCATTCAAAGAGGAATGATAGACAACTTCATTTACCAACAAGAGGGGACAAGAGTACTGTGGAAGGGTGTATCCTCCATTGCTCAGAGGTCTGCTACTATTGACGTGGAGCTACCAGTCTATGTCATCACCAAGTATCCGACTGTCTTGGGCCTAATGGGAGACACTGTACATACCCACTCCTTTCAAGTGTCACCTGTGGTCTGGTGGGTGCCCTGATCTCAAACCCTGTCAGTGTTATGAGAACACACAGATGAATGAGAGAGTCCTTCGAGTTGACAAATGCTCTGAATACACAGATACCCTGGATTGCTTGTTGTAAACATGGAAGAATAAAGGGACTTTTGCTCTATATAAAGGGTTTAGGCCAAATTAATTGAGATTTGATTCTTGGAATATCATTTCCTTTGTGACATATGAGCAGTTGAAGAAATTGGATTTGTGACAAGTCAAGGCTGTATGAGACATTCCTCTGAAAATGCTAACTTCCAAAACAGTAAAACTTCCTGTATTCATTCTGGTTCTCACTGCTTGGCTCATCACAGATTCTGGCTTGTGAATGACAGATAAAGATTGGGTTTGTTCAAATTGCTGTGTGTTGGCATCAGATGCTCTTCATCAAACATTCAATAAACAGCATAAACTGTAACATCCAAACACTAGTCTTTACCACTGAAGTGCCTTTCAGCATCAAAGATAATATATGAAATGCATGTTTCTTGCTAAAAATAACTTGTAAGAATATCAGGAACTATATACTTTTTCTTCAAGGAGAGCAGCCCTAATGCATCTCAGCTCATAGCTGAGAGTATCAGACTACTCTAAAGAAACTCATTGGAACAGTGGAATAGAGCCTCCAAGAAGATATTATTCCTGAAATTTTAGGAGCTTTTGCTTCTTATCAACTGAAGAAATTTCACATGTGGAGACCTGCACTTTTCAATCCCAGGTATAAACAGGGCAGGAAATAGATCTTGGAATATTGCACTCCTTTATAATTTCCTATTTTGGTAGGATCTTTCACTTATTATAAATGATTTTAAGACTTTGTAGACTTGACCTTTGTGAGGAATTGTTAAAATGTATTAATATCTAAATTTATGGTAGTGTTATGTTTTGGCTTTGAACATTGCAAGGTCTGTATTGGTGGGAGGTATTTTTAAGCAGCTTGGGTTCTGTATTAGGTCATGCTAGTAATTAGCTCTATGATTTACTAGTTCCTAGTCTATAAAATGATGATAATAACATCTATTAATATAGAGGGTGAAATGAAGAAAGAATAGTAGCTGCTGCTACTTGACCTGAAAGATAAGTGTGTTTACATTATGCTATCATACAGCTATAATTTCTCAAACAGTCTGTGTCAGTGGGTGTGGTGGCTTATTCCTGTAATCCAAGCATTTTGAAAGTCCCAGGCAAGAGGATCACTTGAGGCCAGGAGTTTGAGGCCAGCCTGGGCAACATAGCAAGACCACATCTCTAAAAAAAAAATGAAAAAAAAAAAAAATAGCCAGGTGTGGTGGCACGCAATTGTAGTCCTAGCTACTTGGGAGGCTGAGGCAGAAGAATTGCCTGCACCCAGCTGCACCCAGGAGTTTGAGGCAACACTACTCATGCCACTACACTCTAGTCTGGGTGACAGAGCAAGACCTTATCTCTAATATAAACAAAAAAAAGTAAATTAAATCAATATGCCTTAGCCAGGTACACATGGATAGTGAAAGAATGAGTGAACATAAGAAAACTTAAGTTTATAACTCAAAATTCCTGTGTTCAGGGTGAGCTTTTTTCCTCTACTTAAATAATTATTTTAAAAAAAGAAAAAAAAGTTTTAAAAATAGAGGGAATAGTGATTTCAGTACTTGATACTTTAATTTTGAAGTCCCCATGTAACATGGTTAGAGACATTAAGTAATATGAGTGCATGGGTCTCAGATTCAGGAAAGAGGTGTGGTCTTAATTATTTCAGTCACCATTTACATATAAATATATAATATTTGAAACCATGAAAGTGAATGGGCTCTCCCAAGAGAACAGGTACACTAAGGTGAGAACAGAACAAAGGTTAAAACCTTTGTGAGTACAAACATAGAAGAACAGAGCCTTTTAAGTGACCAAGAAAAACATATTAGATAAGAATGAGGAAATCCAAGCAAGAATGGTACCATAAAAGAAGAGGAAAGAATCAACAGAAGCAAATGCTATAAAATGAGGACAAGAAAAAGCAGAAACTGGTAAGGGAGGGTCCCAGGGAAAGAAAAATAGAAGCTTCATTTCCATGGTTGAAAAGTGAATATAAGATAAAGAAATGGGGCCTGAGAGTACACAGACTACTTAAAAGAGTCCTTCTCTGAAGGGAAACAGAGAGGTAAGGCACGTATGGAACATGTAACTTGCTCTATTTTTTAATATGAAAGACACATGAGAAGGTTGAAGGGGGCAGGAGAAAGTAGCAATAGATTACTAAGACATAATAACAAGTGAAGCAATGTTCTGGTTCTTTAAAAAAAAAAAAAAGGTCCAAGAGACCAATCTGGCACAGGCTACTCCTTCACTGTAGCCTAGAGAGAGGGGATATTGATAAGGGCATATAAATATGTATTTAAATACATGAAGCAGGACATCTAGGGAGCTCCTATCTAGAAATTCCCCTTTTTCTTAGTGAAACAGGAAGCAAGGGCTCTTCCCAACAGAAGTGGGCAGGGGAAAAGCAGGAGGCTTGATAAGACTAGCAAAGGCTTATAATAACTGTTATGGAACATCAAAGAAAGAATATCTAAGAGGATTCCAAAGTATCACAAAGAGAGCAGCTGAGGTTAGAAAATACATATTTCCAGTATCAAACTATGGCATAAATTCTCTCTTTTCAAGTTCCTAAGTACCAGAGATAAAGGACTGAGACTTAATCTAAAGTTGGGGAACTGTAGGCAGAAAACCAAAAGAGAAAAGAACAAGAATGTTTAAAGACATGGCAAAAGAATACAGTGAAACACTCTAAGGTCTTCATTAGACAGGGAAGAAAGCAAAACCACAAAGGGCCGAGAGAATGGTAGAAGAAAGAGATCCAGATATAACATTTTAATATTAAGAAGTTAGAAAAATCTATAAATTTGTAAATGAGATAACCCATAAACTGATATATCCTTCTCCTGAAGAATAAATTCTTACTTCTATACTTTCTACTCCACTACAATACACTAGCTTTTGAAACCTGTTAATCATTGGTCTTTGACTATTACCCTTGTTTTGAGTTAAAGAATTTACCCAGGGATAAATAAAATTATAAGATATCTTCATTCCCTCAAAGGAACATACTATTTGCTTAGGGAAAAAAAAAAAAAACATAAAAATAACTGTACCATAAAAGACATCAAATTCACATGGAAAGTTGTGTGATATGAGCAAAAAAGCAAGAAAAAATTCAGAATAGGCAGGGAAGCCTTCCTGAAAATTTTTAAAAGTTTCTTTTTTCATAATAAATAAGACTTCTATTAGTGCTAGGGGATTATGGATAGAGCAATAGGAGTAGAAATAAAGTTGTATAGGCATTGGTATGCAAAAGAATCTGAGTAAGAGAAGATTAACTTTAGGAAATTCCTGGAGAAGAGATTGGATAAAGAAATTAGTGCTAGATTATGAAGCATCTAGGATATTTTAGCTCAGACTGAGGATAAGCAGAGAGGAATCACAGGGTAGCATGGAGTGTGCAATAATAAAAACAATATTTTATGGAACTTTTCCTCCCACTCATGTATACATGTGCCTGATTAAATGACTCATGCATTAGCACAGGGAAAAGAAAAGACTGTAAATTATTGCAGTGTAACAGATTAGGACATATGCCCCATATACTGATTCTTACTACATGAAATTCATAAATTGAAGAACTGCATATAGTAAGAATCAGTACGACTGTACCCTAATTTCAAATGTAGATGCTATAAGAAATCATGATTATAGTGTATCTTTTAAATTTATAAAAAATATTTTACATCATTAGCAAAAGTGACCTAATTCACCATACTAACAACCATTTAAGAATAGTTATTACTAATCTATTTTTATTAGTAAAATTTACCATTTTTAAAAATATATAATTTAGGAAATAGTACTTACTACAATGCTTTGAGTGTCCCAAAGCTTCCTCAGCTTTCATGGTCTCACACAGTTCAAAGTACTGAACACACTGCTGAATTGCTGTAGTTATCTGATAAAATAATAATAACTTATTAATTCCACAACTTTGTAGCCTACCTACAAGTCTAAGTATTAAAAGAAATTAGTCAAGCCTGTAAAAATGACTTGAGGAAATATTTAAGAAAAATATTTAGTATGGTACTTTTCCAGACTTAAAGCTCAGTCTCCTCAATTACACTTTAAGGCATCATTCTAGGGAGCACTGTAAAAACATTTGTGGACTAACAAATATAATATCGTTATAATGTTGGTGTCGATGGACAGAAATAAACACATACTTCACATTTTATAGTGAAAGATGCAAAAACTGTTGCTTTGACTTTAAAAACTCTTTGCCCAGTTCCCTTGCCTTGGAGTCTCCTCATTTCACCTAGCCAGCAAAATATCAAGTGGATCAGGCCTTCATTTTCATCTCAAATACCAGAATTGCTGAAACCGACAAAGGAAAACCTCATATTTCAAAGAACAGAGTTATAATAAAAAGTGATCTCCAATTTCTGCTGTACCCCAGGATTCTCCTATGAGTCTCCATTCTAACTCCTCCTCCCACTGTCTACAAGCAGAGATTTCAAAACTTCTCCCATTCCTTAGCAGCCACCTACCTGTAGAAGCTTTCTTATCTCCTAATTCCTAAACAAAACAGAAGCCACCAGTGAGATAAGTTCTGATAACTGTTAGATTTTATAATAAGGAAGATATTGGTGACCTTGAAAAGATCAGTTTTAGGGGAGTTCAGGGAATAAAGCCAGACTGTAATAAATAAAGGAAAAGGAACTGAAAAAGTAAAGGTAACTAATACAATTTTTTGTTTTCCGGAAGAGTGGCTGTGAAAAAAAAGAAAAACAAAATAGAGCAACAATTGGGTCTTAGAGTCATGACTGAACTCTTTTTTCAGGCTAGAAGGATATGGGCACACTTAAAGGTTATTGGGGAGAAGCCAGGAGAGAGGAAGAGTTTGACTATATAGGAGAGAATGGGGACAGTTCATATAAAAAAGTATCCAAGAGGAACAGGCAGGACCCAACTGGAAGGAAGGATCAAGCTTTAGACAGGAAAAAAATGAAGGTTATGTGAACAGAGGAAAGTTCATAATTGTGGCATCAAGGAATCAATGGATTTCCTCATCTCGTTCATTCTTATGGCCTCAATTGTATGCAAGAAACAATTTAATATGATAGGACTTCTATCTTCAGAACGGCCTGTTTATAAGGTTGGATTTTGATAGTATCTAGGAACTTTAACTTCAGGAGGGTTCCCACCATTCTGAGGACTGATAAGAGGGGCTACATTGTACCTAAACTGTTTGTACAAATATGTGGTTTGTGATGAACACTTGCTTTCCTTCTAGGAATGTGGGATCCTGATATGTGCTAGGCAGATCAGTCCCCACATGATCAGTCCCCTACCACCCCCAAAAAACCCAGGCACTGGGTCTCTAATGAGTTTCCCTGGTTTATAACATTTCACACAAGTGGCACAGTTCTACACTGAAGGAATTAGGAATGTCCTATGTGATTCCAGTGGAAAAATGATTCTATAAGCATGTACTTTCAGATTCTCCAGACTTTGCCCAATGTACTTTTCCTCTTTGCTTATTTTGCTTTGCATCATTTCACTGTAATGAACAATAGTAGGGAACATGATTATATGCTCAATCCCATGAGTCCTCCCAGCAAATCATCAAATCTAAGGGTTTCTTGGGGAATCCCTGCCTTTCCCATATTTTTATGTCTTGTCTAAATCAAACCCATTGAGATCCAAGCCTCCTAGAGATCTGTATTCCAAATTCGATATGACCAAATCTACAAATCATTTTTCCCAGCAAAATGTTTCCTCCTACTGTGTTACTTACCTCAGTGAATGACACTAATTGTCTAAGTAAGGGCTCACCTCAACCCGGCCCTCATTCAAAAGCCAAGTCCTTTATTTTTTTTTATTAATTTTATTTTAGTTTATCATATTATGGGGGTACAAATATTGTTAGGGTTACATATATTGCTCCTGGCATTCCTCCCCCCACCCCCTGCCTTACCAAAACATCAAGCATGTCCTACCCCCAGGTGGTGTGCATCGCACCTATTTTGTAAGTATAAATTCTTCCCCTCCTCCCCACTCCCATCTGCCCACCACCCGATAAAAGTTTGTGATTTTTTTTTCTTTTTTTGACCTTTGAGTTACATTGTATATCTTTGCCTTTCCCTAGGAAGGGTTAGAGGTATTCCCTCCCCCCCACACACAATGCTTGTCACAATCCTAAAATGTGTATCTCCCCCTCCCCCAAACCCTGGTGGGCACTATCACTATTTGAGCACCATAGTTTTATCAGTCAGTACCAATTTGATGGCAAGTAGATGTGGAGCCCATTTTCTTGATCTTGTGTCACCTCACTTAAGCCAAGTCCTTTAAATCCCACCTCCTAAACAGAATATTCCTGAGTCTATCCATTTATCCAAATTATCACTGTCATATCCTTAATTCATGTTTACATAATCTTTTGCTTGGCCTACTGCACAGTCTTTTAACTATCTTTTTGCTTCAATACTTCTCTCCCATCTTCATCAAGCACGTTCAATCCATTTTCCCACAAAATACAAAACAATAACAAAAAAAAGTGGCTTACAATGAATTGCCACTATGGGGAACTTTTGACATGACAAAATTAATAAAATAGTGCACTTAAGAGAAGCTCTAAAGAATGAAAGGAAAAAAATAAAATTAAAAAAACCACAATAATCACCTTCTTTAACTGAGAACTCAAAACAATGTCTCCAAAATACTCTCTTCTCAAAGACACTTCACTTCACTTCCATTCAAACTTTAAAGGTTCCACCCTCCTTGCACTCATCTTTACCCAGCTTTTTCTTCACTGTATCCTTACACTCCCTTCTATTCCTTCTACTCCTTCTCCTGGCTTCTTATATGTGCTAGCCTTTTTATGAGAAAAGGTAACAATCACAGAAAAAGGAACTATCTCAGGACAGGAACAATCACATTATGTAATATCCCTTCAAATTTCAGGAGCAAAAAGCTGATCTATAGTAGGTGAATCTAAACACTGGTCTAAAGAGTCAAGTTGAGGGTATAATGAATGATTTTACTAACTCGGGAAGACAGAAATTTGAAGTAAAATTCAGGATTGTATTTGATACTTATTTTCCTATACTATTTTCCAATACTATACAGTAAGATAGGAAAAACCAAGGAAGAATTTAAATAACCTAGCTATCAGGTCATTTTGTAAAATGACTTTCAGAGAGCAAGAAAAATGGCGCTACATAAAGCCATTTCAGAAGCCATTCCTTTAAAGGTAAGCTGGACAAGGAGTCAAATTGTTAAAAAAATAAATAAAAGGTTAAATATTTACACTATAGCCCAAAACATTTAACTAGTCATGACTTTGTAATGCCATGGAAATAAAGACTCTCTTGACTTCCTCAGGTATCTCTATAAAAATCTGACAGCACATACATAAATTATTTGATACCTTAATGCTACCTATTTAAAATGTCATATACATGAGAGACTAGAATTGTACAGTCAAATATAGTAGCCATTAACCACATGACTATTTAAATTTAAATAGTTTCTCAGTCACCCTAGTCACATTTCAAGTTTTTCCATAGTCACATGTGGCTAATGGCTACCCTGTTAGACAATGCAGAAATTCTGTCATTGAAGAAAATTCACTAGACAACACTAATGAGAAGTTAAAGGAAATGCATTTGCAGGTCATTCATGCTAAACATGCTGCCATGACTAAAGTTCTTATGCAAGAATCTCTTATTGACCAGAAAGACAAATCCATGGAGTGTTCCAAAGTTGACACCATAAATGCACAGAATTTGACCCTCCCTCCTGAAAAGGAAGTTGAAATAAATGGATCTTGCATCAATTTTTCCCAATGTTTCTTTTCAAAAGCGAGGTCAAGTTTACTTTAAAAAATAAATATACCATAAATAATCTTGTGATATTTGGCAAATTTTGAAAAGCTCTTTAGACAAAATGAGGGAATTTTTACATTTATTTATTTGTATATATTCATAGGGTACAAGTATAATTTTGCTACATGAATACATTGCATTGTAGTAAAGACAGAGCCATCAGTACATACATACATCACTCACATAATGCACAAAATGAGGTTTCAGTTGAAATCTCTAGAATGTTTGACCCATTACATACATGAAAAAATACTTGACTAAGTTGATAAAATATTAAAGTGATTTATAATAAAGTAGTCCCATCTGCAGGCTAAAAACTGATTAAGGTATAGTTGACTTTTCAAACAACAAATTTTGAAATTTAATCTATAAGAAACTATATTTCTATATTTGAAATACTTCCACTGGGGCCTCTGTGATAGCAACAGTGAGTTATTATCTGCGCATAAACCATGGGGAAAACACCATCCTGTTCTGTGGTTTTTCTTTCTTTATTCTAACAAGATCAGTCTATGCTCATATAGCAACAACAAATTTTCATTTAAAGTGGGAATGGAAGAGAAATGAGATGTCGAAAGACCTTATTTCAATTCATTTCTCTAAGAATTTTTAAGCACGCTTTTACCTCTACTAATATATTCTCATCCTATTACTCAATATCACTATTTCTGCTGCTTAATTCTCTTAATTCTCAAACACAAAACAATTACTGTTCTCCTTTTTTCACTTTATGCTCTACTGCACTTACCCAAAACCGACAATTCCAGGAATCTTTCCTTCACCTGACTTCTAAGCTCAAGGTTCATCCTAACTACATATACTATTATTGACCCAAAGTTATACAATTTTTAAGTATTTTAATAACTTTCATCTTTTTCATGCTGTCAATTATTATTTATTAGATGTGATTTCTTTTTAATTCCTTTCAGTACCCTTAGACGTTATTCTAATAATACATGTAGATAATTTAGGTAATATATTTTGCCGTACTAGTTTATATTTGGTATATCCAATTTTTACTAATGCAAAAACATTTATCATTCTGAAATTTTCTCAAGTAACTTTCACTCATAAACATGAGTATAGTTTATAGAAGTCATTTATAGAAGAATTATTTCTATATAGAAGAATTACTTCTATATTTTATATAAGTAATTACTTTATTAATAACTGATCTGAATCAAATTACATAATACTTAAAATACGGCTTCTCTCAAACTAGGCTTGTTATTTATAGCAGTTCAATTTACTAGGTACTTATATATTTCCTAATTGTTATCCTGACTACATTTTAAGTCTCTACTTTTATCCTTTTATGTTTCATACGATGGTAGTTTAGGTCACATAAAAGACAACTGCTTCATTATTCAATATTAATTATCACCACTCAACTTGGCATATTCAAGTTATTACATCATATCTTTTTGTGATATTATTTCTCAACATAAAAAGAGATGTATAGACTTACCAGAGACTTATATTTCTTTTCAAGAAGTCTTAGTACTGCAGTTCTGCTATAATATGCATGCTAAAATTAAGAAGAAAATGATATTTAACTTAATATTCAAGCTATGCCATTTAAATCTATTTTCCCTGTATTATTTCCAATAACATCATAAATCACACAATAACTTAGGTTTAAATTATTATAAATCAATGCCAAACAGGTTTTTCTATGTACACTTGGATTGGGGCTATAGCAATCACAAGAATACAAATAATATCGAAAAACTTACAAATCATTTAGTGACAAACCAGTAGAAAAAACAAACATTCTATCTATCAACTGTGTACATCTCCATGATAAGCTATTTTAAAATCACCACCAAAAAAGCATACTTGACTATTAGTGTATAATAGAACCTAAAAAAAAAAGATACCCAAGTGGTAAAAAAAAAAAAATCACAACTTATACTGAAGAGGATACTATACTGCCTGCATGTGCAGAAATCTGCCAAGGTTGAAATGCTCTGAAGGAACAGTATCCTAATCATTTTCTGCCAATCAGATTGAAAAATGATTCGAAGTGCCAAAAAAGTTTTAATTTCCTCCTTAGAATCTAATATAGATGGATTTAAAACATATAAATACACAGCATTGTACAAAAGCAAGAAAAACTATATATGTCATTTAGTTAAATTATGTAAGATAAAATTAGTTCAAAATATACTTTCTGCACTTTATTTAATAACGATAAAAATATTAAACAGAATACTACCCAGTTAAAAACTATCAACATTCTGAGAAGTTTTTTAATTAAACATTAATTATATGGCATTTTGGTTAACTAGAGGTTAATCAAAACCCTGCATCTTTTAGCCCTTGTAGTTTAAAATGCTTTCAAAAACTATCAATCCTTTTTTCAGCTTACTAAAGAAAAATATGTTGATGTACTACTAAATTATTTTTAATATTGATCTGAATGTTCCGAAAAGGAATCTCATAATTTATCCCTTAGAAAAGGTCAGCAAATTCCAGCCCTCAGACCAAATTCAGACTACCACCTGATTTCATAACTAAAATTTCACCGGAACACAGTCAAGCCCAATCATTTACATGTTCTCTATGGATGGTCTAGAGCTATAATAGTTGGGTTGAAAGCTGCAACAGAGACTATATAGCCTAAAATATTTACTGTCTGGCTCTTTATACAAATTTGCCAACCCCATCCTTAGACAAAAATAGTATAGGAGGATGTGATAAACTTTCATAAATATTAGAGCTTAAGGATCCGATTTTTAATAATTTTCTGCTTCATTCTCTTAAGAATCAACTACTAGCAATAAAAATGTTAAGTGAAAAGTTAATTACAAAGTTAGAATATGATTTCATTATTAAAAATAACCTAAACAGATAAATAAGTATATATAATAAATATATTAATATCTACATAAAACAAGATCTTAATAGTTATCCCTCTATTGCATAATTAGAAAAATTTAGTATTTGAGCTTTTACATATTTTAGTTTTTTCTAATAATGATATAATTTAAGAATCAGGAAAAAATTTTAAAGTGTCAGATGTGAAGAACAAAGGGTTCATGTTAATTTAATTAAATTCAGCAAACATTTATCAAACACATACTGTATAGGCCAGGTAAGGGTAAATACTGGAGACAGAATTGTGTTCTGCTTATTTTGGCATTTATCATACAGTTCAGATAGCAAAAGGCAAAAAGTGCCATCAGCTAGATAACATCCCAACTGTCCTGAGCAGTAAATTAATATGCCCCAGCTCTTCCCTCCTCCCCCCCTGCAACAAATATAGTACCTAGGTGCCTACTACACAGATTGAGGGAGAAAAAGATGAGAACACAAAAGCCAGCTGTGTTGCTACTACTGCTAAACACAGACCTGTCTTATTCAACAGACAGTGAAGGAGATAACAGTATAAAGATCTCTCTACTCTTAATACTAGCTTCAGTTCCAGGACAGTGGTGAGCTCCATAGGAAATTGCCAGATTTAGGCATTAAACACAGTTCCCCAAACTTCAGGTTCAGGAGGGAGGCAAATGAAGAAATACTTTCAAACATATCTCCTAATCAAAGAAAAATGAGTATTGAATCCTTATGATCTACCACATATGCCTAAAATTTTTGAAGCTTTTAAACTAAAAAAAAAAAAAATAAATAAGATTTGGATAGGTCATTCAGCTTATTAAATAGATTCAAATGAATTATCATTTAAAATTCTATTTGGTCTCTGCCACTTCCTAGATAAGCAATCTTGGGCAAGTTAACTTCTCTATGCCTCAATTATTACATAGAAAAAATGAGTTATTAATACCACCTACCTCATAAATTTGTAAAGAATTAAATGAGCTAACACCTGTAAAAGCAATTAGAACTTAGCACACATTAAACACTCAAACATTAGTTATTCTTTAAAATAATATAGCAATGCACTGAAAGGTATAAAACCATTCTATTTTTCCTTACCATCCACTTTTTGAACCACACAGCCTTGGTATCAACTAATGCAAAAAAGTAGATCGGATCTAAAATCTTTTGTGAGACATGATGGCTTTGATTATGTTTAACTGATAATAAGGACAAAGTACTCTCCACAATTTCTTCCATATACCTTAAAGTTTGGAGAAAAACATGATTTTAGAAGAAAGCAAATGCTATATATATATATAAATATATATATATATGATGTGCATTACGTTTATAGAATGATAAAGTAACATAATCTTCAGAAACAATTTTTTTTATATTTCAGTAAATGGCAAAGGTGGGATTTACACTCAATTTCTCTGCTTAAAAACTTATGTTCTGGCCGGACACAGTTGCTCACGGCTGTAATCCTATCACTCTGGGAAGCCGAGGCGGGCAGATTGTTCAAGGTCAGGAGTTCAAAACCAGCCTGAGCAAGAGCGAGACCCCATCTCTACTAAAAATAGAAAGAAATTAATTGGCCAACTAAAAATATATAGAAAAAAATTAGCCAGGCATGGTGGTGCAAGCCTGTAGTCCCAGCTACTTGGGAGACTGAGGCAGAAGGATTGCTTGAGCCCAGGAGTTTGAGGTTGCTGTGAGCTAGGCTGATGCCACAGCACTCTAGCCTGGGCAGCAAAGTAAGACTGTTTCAAAACAAAAACCAAAAAAACACTTATGTTCTTTCTCCTTCAACACTGGATCTCCAAATTTAACTTTCCTTTTTTGACTCACAGATGCTCTTACAACCTTATTAAAAATTTTAGAGCTGAAAGGAAAAAGCTTAAAGAACATTTAAGGAACCTGTCCAAAGCAGTAAAGACCAACCTAAGGCTACAACATCCTCTTTTACTTTGTTGTGATAATAGTATAAAACGGTACTTGTATAGAGCCATTCATTTAGCTAAGTATAAAACATGACAATCTTAAAAACAATTAAACTTTGTTAATCTTTTCCCAATAGTGTAAGTCAATTAAGATTGTCTATATTCTTTCATTTGGAAATGTTTGTGGTACAGCAACACTCCTTTGTTTTATGTTGCCCTAAGTTAGAGGACTTACTTCTCTGGGTGACGAATCCAGAAAGATGGAGCCTCTTTCTGATATTCATTTAGAAGACGAACCTACAAAGCAGTATAAAACAGTTCTCACAAAATTAGCGTTCTTAAATATAAAACTACTTTAAAAAAATAAAAGCATAGTCTCGCAAATGAATACCTTTTTAAGTAAGCGGATCACATTAGGATTAGTTATGTCTACACCAGCAGAAAGAGTAGGAATACGATTTTCTCTAGAAAGAAAGTATAACTCCAAATATTTTGCTGAAAAGAAAAGGTAAAAACACAAAAGTTTTATACCATTCACTTATAGTGCTTTCTGAAAAGCTATTTCTTTACCATTTTTCTTAAGTATATACAGAAAGAAAAAGCACTTAAAATTATTTAATAAACATACCTAAGCTTGTATAAATTTCCTTGGTCATGTGTAACGGTGAAAGTGTAAATGTCTGTGCATAGAATTTTAAAATCCGGTCCTAAGGAAATGAGACAGAAGATCTGCATATAAGATTCTTACTAGAGGAGATGAAATATTTTTCACATAGTAAAATCCCAGATAATAAAATAAACACTTAAAAATAAACCATTCAGAAACCTACACAGGAATGCTTATTTTAAAAAGGGCACATTCTTATGTTGGTCAGCAAAAAATAAAATCGACCAAAATCTGATAATAATAGGTACTGATATTGGCCAGGAGGGGGCAGAGGAGAGGTTTGATAGAAGGTACAACGTAAGGGAACTAGGCAGTACTAACTTTTTTAAAAAACACACACTTCCAAATTCAAGATTTGTCTTTTTAAATTGCTTACATGGGTAGTTGTAGTAATTAGACATTTAGGATTCTTTCTAATAATTTTTCCTATTCCCAAGAAAAATACACATATTTAAAAAAAATTACATTATTAAAACCCAAAGTGGAAACTATTACAAAGTAAATGAAACAAATGAAGTAACATGTAGTTAGAATACTGCCTGTCACTAGTAGATACTTTAAAAATGGTAGCTATTATCATCTTAATTATACCAACTTTAATATTGTCATAAGATATTAAATCCTGATATTAATCCTAATAGTGAAATCAAACTTTCCATTAAATTAAAACAAAATTGCCTTAAAGTTTCTAACTTGCAGAAAAAAATTCATAATCCTGCTTAAATCACTTAGCATAAACTGCTTACAAGAAATAGTTCCCCAAATGACTAAAGATATCTTCTAATAACCCCAAGAAATTCCTACTTGAACACAGGATATTAATTACTTAGGGAAGTCTATTTTTATAGCTGCAGCAATTGATAAATATCTGTCACACTTTTCAGCCACTATAGGCTTCACTCAGTTACATGTAAGAGTCCTTTAGTGCAGGAGAAGAAAGAGAATCAAACTCAAAAATAATTTGGATCAAGAACAAATTGAAAATGAAAAGAAATTCATGCCTTGTTTTCTACTTCAAAATGACTGATTCTATTACCATTTCTCCCCTATAACAATTGCTTCCAATTTTCCAATTTTACTAGCTTAATAAAACTGCCCTTTGCTGCATAATAATCTATAATGGCTAAATACTGACCCATTAAGAACATAGCTATTTTATAAAGTTATTAACATAATTTCTAAAATAAAAGAAATCTATTGAGCAACTAGGTTGTCTTTGTTATGTAAGGGGAAAAATACAGGAAAATTTACAATTGCATTTCTTGTTAGACAGCCTTGAAATATTAAAGGGGACCCTAAAATATCTTTTATCCCCTTTCCAGTTCTTGGATCACTGAGTTTGTACAGAAGTCTACAATACCCTCTGGTGTTAATAAGGTTGAACTGCATCCAACTATGAGAAACACCTTCTTCCCCTTGTTAAGAATAACAAATACTGTTTCTCAAACCATTTCTGTGTACCAGTATAATTATATCTTCCTTGATGATAGTGTGTGATTTTTAAACAGACAAATGTATTGGGATATCTTATATTTTTCCTATAACTATTTGTTTACTCTTGTCTTCTACTAAAATCTAAGTTCCATGAGGGCAAAGACTTTTTTTCTGTCTTGTTGCTGATATGTTCCCCACATCTAAACTAGAATGATGCACACTGTAAGTATTCAACACATACTTACAGAACAAAAATCAAAACGTAACTATTGTTCTAATGCCTAAAGTCTGTACAAAACACTATTTCAATTTTAAAGCAAAAATTTTTTCACTGACATCAATTAGGAAAAAAAGACTCTCAAAATCTTAAAAAAGCCGATTTCTATTTTAAATGTGATGCTTGGATACAGTTAGGTTTTTTTTTTCATTCACATCACAGACACTATCTATAGAATTATTTCCACTTGTTAATATAAGCTTAATTTTCATCATATAATAACTGTTCCTGAAAAGTAATATGCAAAGCAACTTTACAGAAATTATATTCAACTTCATAATTTTACAATTTTAGAAATTTTCTTTATTTGCTTTGATTCATCTCAAATTATTTTCTAAACTCTTAACTTTACAGTTTTCTAGCCTCTCTCATAAGCAGTTATCTCTAAATATTTAAATGTATGAGCAAAATCCTTATGAACCCTTTTGAATAAATCTTAATTCGTCATTTTTAAGTTCAAATGCCATGTATTATGAATTCTTTTAAAATATTTTTAACTCAAAAACTATGACAAAAATTTTGGATATCCCTTTATAAAATAAAACAAAATGCACGAGGTAACAGTATGTTATTTGGCAATGAAGTGTATTGACCATACTTTGAATCTAATAATGAAATAGTAATTCCTTTTAAAAAAATTCTGACAAGCCAAAAGGTAAAACTTAAGTTTTATAAATATTTGAGCTACTATTAAAAAATACTTTATTTCTAGAATATTTTATTTCTAGAATAGTTAGAAGACAGAAATTATTTTTAAAATTTATATAACCATTTCCTTACACTAAACACAGGATCAGGATCTGAAAGAGACACTGTCAGTTTTTCACAGAGAGTGGTCCAGTTTTCACAGTTCAGGACATCAGATGGAGGAGCTGAACATAACGTTTGCAAGGCTTCATATCTCACCTATAATTTTTTAACAAAGATTTTTATTAATACTCAGGCACTAGAATAATACAGGTTCTCCAAAACAATATTTAACAAACTATTGAAAGGCAGAGTCTGGATAACTGTTATAAGGAGCCATTTATCAGATGCCCTTTTATAAAACAACTCTTGAAAATTCATTTTTAAACTAAGTGCTGAACAGAGAAAAAAATAGGTTGCTGTTTTGTGTAAAGCAAAAATTAAAACACTAAATATAATAGGAGATCCTAGGTCTCATGTCTAAGTGGAATAGAAGGAAGGATGGTGGTTGAATCAGAATCATCAAGGCAATCAACATTTTCCAATGTCCTTGTCCTACAGACATTCCACATTCTAGTAGGCCCCCATAGGCAGTCCTATAGTTTGAGGGCTTTAATTTCCAGATATGACCCGGTGAAGCATTCCCATTTCAAGATATATGAACAATTCTCACAAAACAATTAGTTTGAACCCGCTTTTTCTGCTATATTTTCTGACCTTCTAACTACTGACGTAGAAGAAAAAAGTCATTCAGCAGTGGGATACAAAACTGAATTTCTGTACTTCTTAATCAGTCTCCTCAAAATCTAATCAGAATTCACTCAAAACAGTATGACTTGAGGGAAAGTAGTGAAGAATAGCTCTGCTCCAATGATTAATGGAGTAAAGCTGTTTCTTTTCCACTCAACTTCCTACAAGTGAATATCGGGTTTCCCCGAAAATAAGGCCTACCCATAAAATAAGCCCTAGCAGGATTTCTAAGCATTTGTGCAATATAAGCCCTAACCAGAAAATAAGACCTAGTGATGGGCGTGGCTATGCAGCGTATCTGCACAACCATGCATTTCCTCGCGGAGCAGTAAAGAAGCAGCCCTTCTCATCTGCCCCACGAGAGGTCTATTGCTCGACATGAAAGATTGGGCCCAATGGTTCTAAAGGAAATAGAGTGGCAAGAAATTCAGGATGCATTCGGGGTTTGGAGAGTTATGATGATGTTCCAGAAGACAACTTAACTATATTTGAATAAATGTAGATTGTTGTGCCATGCTTAAAAGAAATAACACATCCCCTGAAAATAAGCCCTACGGTGTCATCTTTAGGAAAAATAAATATAAGACTCTGTCTTATTTTGGGGGAAACACGGTATCACACTGATCCCAGCCTAGTCCTCAAAATCTGGCCATTTCCCAATTGAAAACTAGGGACTGAAAAGGTGAGGCATCAGAGGAGGCAACAGGAGCCAAGATCTCAACAACCACCTGACTCACACTCTGAATAAGGGTGCCAACCGTAACATGAAAACGATAGGATATATTTGAAAATGCCTGTATATTCATATGAAAGAGCTCCTAAAATATAACTTTGTGATAGGCAATGAGGGAACATGGGGAGAGTTTTAAAAATTATGAGTTCATTTACAATGTTAAGTACTTTTTCCTTCTCGTTTCATTTTTAGGACAAAATCCCATTACGAATTTACTACTTGCAGAAGCAGAATAAAGGTTTCTGAATAAGTATAGATTTCCAAAAAATCCATTTAAACTGAATGACAATAGGATTTTTATCATATAAAGTCACATTTCATTTTAATAGCTTTTAAAACATGTTATAAACCCAGAAAATAAATCAGAAGGCAAAATGCTGAAAAGAAAAAAATATTCTTGCGATTTTTTAGAAAATTTCAGTGGGAAATTAAACTATTCATTTAATTTAAAATGAAAGTTTGAAAAAAATAATTTCAAAAATTGAGACCAAATGGTCTATCATATTTTCTATTTCAGACTGACTTTCAGATAAAATTAAGATTTCGTTAACAGTAATTTGTACAATATTTTAAAATATAAACAGACAAAATTCAATACAATTGCTCATTTAAAAATACTTTTCCTAATAAATGAACAAATTGTCAAAGCTGCTCATATGGGAGATATTGGTTAAAGGATACAAAATTTCAGTTAGATAGGTGGAATAAGTTGTTCTATTGTATAACCTGGTGACTATGTTAATAATAATGTATTGTATTCCTAAAAATTACTAAGAAAGTAGATTTTAAGTGTTCTCACCACAAAAATAATAAGCATATGAGGTAATACATATGTTAATTAGCTCAAGTCAGCCATTTCACACTGTATATATTTCAAAACAAATTGTACATAAATATATACAATTTTTATTCTATTAGAAATAATTTTGTTAAAGTTGCTCACATTTTCTAGAAGCAGAAAAAAAGAATTAAAAAAATCTTTTTTTCCTAAGAAAGCACTAAAACATTGCATAAAAAGAACAATGAAGAAACAGTTTTAAGGACAATTGCTCATAACTTTATCCCTTGAAATTGAAGCTAGAAATAAAAATTTCCTCTTATAAACCATGACAATTCTCTAAGGAAAGCCTCCTTTACACTGTGACCTTTCATTTCAAGACTGAGTTTACCAGGGATCTCAGTCTAGGATTGCCCATAATAACAAAGGCTTAACCTCAAGAGAAACATCCCAGCTGCTACTGATTGCAATCCAATACATTATAAATATATGATAGCCAACTGAACTTGACAGCTATCCTTTTAACTTACCTCTTTAGGTTGCCCAGGATCCAACTGCTCTAAAATCAATTGTAATTTTCCTTGACAAAATTTGTAACTCTGTAACACAATTGACAGAGCATTCACTTATTTACAAGGCTTTTAGAAGTATTGCTATAAATTATTTCTAATATAATTCCAAGCACACAACATATTCTGGACAAGAGAAGATGATCTATTTTGATTTGGCAGTGCTTGGGATTTTTTTTCCCCAAGACTTTTAAATGGGAACTGAATATCCCAGTAAAACAGTTTACCTTCATGTATATGAAACTATTATTATTTGCTGAGCAATTGGAATGTGTAGAACATTATAAGACTCAAAAGACATAAAGCCAAAAAATTACGTACCCAGAAATATGAGATGAATGAAACAGAAAGATAAAACAAACAACAAAAACAATTTTACTTGTTTTTGTACCCTAGGTATAGCTACAGTGATGCTTCATCTTTTTTGATCCCTTTTTTTCCTGTACTTTTCCTTAGCATTCTTCATAGTTTTTTAGAGAAAACGTTCCAGAAGTAAAAACCTCCATCTAGAAAAAAAGTTTATAGTAGGTAGGCCAGAAGCTATTTTGGAAAAGAAAGGGTCTTTTTCCCCCACCAAAGGCAATTTAAATATGCATAACATCTAAAAAATCATCTAAAAATAACAAAGATTACAAAAATAGCTGCCATTTACTGAGTATCTACTGCGAAACAAGCCCTATACTATTTCAACTCACAATGACTCTGTGCAATTGAAAGACATGAAAACCAAAGAGGTTAAATAACTGCTTCAAGTTACATAGCTATCAGAATTCACATTCTCATCCATATTAGAGACCCTCTTCTCTTCACTATACTCTTCCCTGAGGTGTTCTCATCGAGTTCCTTGACTTTAGATATATCATGATAACACATAAATTTATTCAGTCACTTGATCTCTAGAGTTATATATCTAATTAACCTCTCAACATTCCATTTGGATGTATTGGGCATCTCTAACCTGCCCAAAATAGAATTTCTGATTTTTTTTTATTTTAGCATATTATGGGGGTACAGTGTTAAGGTTATGTATATTGCCCATATCCCCACTCCCCCGAGTCAGAGCTTCAAGCGTGACCATCCCCCAAACGTTGCACATCTCACTCATTGTGTTTGTATATACCCATCCCCTCCTCCCTTCTCCCACCTGCCCAACACCCAATAAATGTTATTCCTATATGTCTACTGAGGTGTTGATTCGTTAATACCAATTTGCTGGTGAGTACATGTGGTGCTTGTTTTTCCATTCTTGAGATACTTCATTTAGTAGAATGGGTTCCAGCTCTATCCAGGAAAACACAAGAGGTGCTATATCATCATTGTTTCTTAAAGCACATTTTATTAGTCTGCTCATGAACTGATGGGCACTTGGGTTGTTTCCACAGCTTTGCAATTGTGAATTGTGCTGCTATAAACATTCGAGTGAAGGTGTCTTTTTCATAAAGTGACTTTTGATCTTTTGGGTAGATGCTCAGTAGTGGAATTGCTGGATCAAATGGTAGATCTACTTGTATCTCTTTAAGGTATCTCCATATTGCTTTCCACAGAGGTTGAACTAGTTTGCAGTTCCACCAGCAGTGTAGGAGTGTTCCTCTCTCTGCATCCACACCAGCATTTGTTTTTTGGGGACTTTTTGATAAAGGCCATTCTCACTGGAGTTAAGTGATATCTCATTGTGATTTTGATTTGCATTTCCCTGATGATTAGAGATGTTGAGCATTTTTTCTAAATCTGCTCCTCCCTCAGACTTTCATCTTGGTATAGGGCACTATGATCCATTGAGGTTAAGTCAAAAACAGAAGTCAATGTTGACTCCTCACTTTCTCTTTTCCTACAATTCAGTCCATTATTAAGTCCTGCAAGACAATCCCCAAGTTTCAAATTTATTACATCCAACTACCCATTACTACTTCCCTGCTAAAACCCTAGTCCAAGGCCCCATTCGCTCTAATCTGGAATACTTCAATTTACCTTAACTGGTCTTCCTGCTTCCACTCTCATTTCAACTTGCCCCACTATCCATTCTTGAATATCAGTCAGAGCTTCTCAAAGTTAGAAACCAAATCCCTTAACCCCCTTACAGAAACCCTCAAAAGACTTCCCACTTTACTCAGTTTCTCTCTCTCATATATCACCCCGCTATCTAGGCTCCAGGTACACTGCCTTCTTTCCAACCCTGGAAGATGTCATGCCCACTCTAGCCTAAGAACGTTTACCATAGCCTCCAGCTGGCAGTGCTCCTACCCCAGAGCTTTGTATGGCTGACTTTTTATCACTTAAAACTCAGCACAAAATCTCTGCACAGATGACTCACACTGTGTTATCCCTAACACTAACCTTTCTACCAAGTAAATCCTGCATTTTCAACTTCTTGTTATACCAGTGGCATACCTTATTGGCATCTCAAACTCAGTATGACTAAAAACCTGAATTTACCATATTATTCTCCACACCTAACCTTCCACTCCAATCCCAGGCATGGTTTATGACACCATCATCCTCTAGCCATCTTGGTTTGAAACCACAGCTAGACCTACTAGCTGACTCTACTGCCATTTGTGCCACCCCCTCCAAAACAGTGTCAATAGTCAAGTTTAATGATTCTATCTCTGTAATAATTCTCATGTCAGTCCATTCATATTTATTCCTACCAAGCTTCTTAAGTTTGGATCCTCATTACTTCATTACTTTTTTTTTTATTATTTCAGGATATTATGAGGGTACAAACATTTTGGTTACATTTTATGTCTTTGCCTTGCCCAACAATATGAATGGAAATCTACCTCAAATTTCAATCTTCATTAATTCTTACTTCAACTACCATGTTAGCTTTCTAGCTTGTCTCCCTACATCCACTTCCCCCCCTTCTGCATACAACTGTCAGGTAAATCTCCCTGAAGCACATTTCTCTATTCAAAAACCTAAAATAATCTTCTTTTGCCTACATAACACAATCCAATTTAGCTTTTGAATGCATTACTTTATTCCTTAAATATTTATTCTGCACATAATATGTGCCAGGCACCTACTATGTATCAGGCACTATGATTTTACAACCAGGAGCTATAAATAATAATTAAAACATAATTCTTACCCTCACTCCATACTCTGGCCCTAATCTACACTGCTCCCCCAACTCTTTTTTCTAACTCTTCACCACATAAATAAACTATACAAAGGTTCCCATATATGTCATCTTCTTTGCTGGTTCAGAGTTTTTGTCCATTCCCTTATCAAAAACACTTTCCTCTATAGCCCTTTGATATTCTTAATGATAAGGGCTCCTCTTTGGGATTCTCAAAACATATCATTTCTATTTCACAACATTGTTACTTATGTACTTTGTTATTCATGTACCTATCCTACCTCTTTCCTATTATAATTAAGCTCCTTGAGAAAATGGTGCATATCTGATTAATCTTTGCACTTTTGCAGTACCTAACAAGATATTATACACAGCAGATGCCCAATACATATCAGATGAGTGTACATCCAGAGTTGAAGTCCATCAATTCCATATTTGTCTTTCGTCCTAGGTTATGATACATATTAGAAAAGAATAACTTTTTTCCCTCTTTGCCACTAAAAAAGAAAAGCATAACCTTTAATTGTTATCTAGTTGGAGTATCCTAAATCTACTTACTCAACACCCTATAAAAGATTCCTTTAATTGTCTTCTTAAACATAGTACAAACTTCTGTTTAAAAATGTTAAACAATGAAATAATTTTTATAATTATTATTACAGTAGACATCAGAATTTGTTTAATATCTGTCTTGAAGGCTATCTATGCTACAGTCTCCTTTTTTTTTTTATTTCAGCATATTATGGGGGTACAGATTTTAAGGTTTCAATAAATGCCCATTACAGTCTCCTTTTAATAGTGTTATTTGTCATGAATGAACATAAATTGCTATAGCAACTAACTACAATAATTTATTTAACTAGAGCATGTGGATAATGTGTTCACCTGAATACATATTTGTTAGATTTTCAGTTGTTCTAAATATTACTTAGATTAAAAATTCCTGAGGATAGAAGCAATTTCTGCTGACTTGGTTTATAAGGCACGACATACAGATCTGTTGGTGATAACACAAGTGATGATATCAATATATGTAGCTATTGCCAAAAGGAAAGTTTTTAAAAAAACATTTACTAGAAACTGTGAGATAAATGAAAAAAAAAAATTTTAAATATCTTAAATTTACATTTGTCAAAGTGTAAACTAAGCAAATAATAACTGAGCAAACTGAAAGGGAAAAAGAGAAAGAAATGGAACAAGTTGATAGTCTAAGATGTATTTGGTCCTTTGATATGACCATATCAATCTGAATGAAAGGTCTTTATGTGCTAAAATAAGATTTGGGATACATTTCTGGCAGATGCAGGTTACCTAAAGATTATAAACAGAACACATTCTGTAATTTTTATAGCAATATCATATTTAATTACTTTATTACAACATATACTGAAAAATATTCATATTATCCAATTAATACACTTTATTTTTTAAAAATCATCCTCAAAATTAATTTACTCTAGCAATTTCAACTATATAAACCATTAAATATGCAACCAAATAGAGCTATTAGTGTTGTTCAAACAGTACTGCTATGAGAAATAAAAGGAAATACATAAATATTGAACTTAATAATGCTTCAGCTTTTAATATGTATAACTGTACAATGATTTATTTACTATTCTTGACAAAAAAAAAAAAAGAAACCTCACTCAATGCTAACAACAATAATGACAACACACACTATGTAAATGCTTCATATGTGCCAGGTACTGTTCAAAATACTTTAGATGTTAGTTAAATCATTAAATTCATCAAAAAAGAAACAAAAAAAGAAAAAAAAATCATTAAATTCACAAAGCACCCTATAAGGTAAGCGCTATCTCCACTACACACATAAGAAAACTTAAGTAAACAGAGTTTAAGAAACCAAGGTCCAAGTTCATCAGTGGTAGAACCAGAGATTATTTCACCTGGTTTGTCTCAAGATTCAAAATGAATTAGCTTCATGTAGAATGGCTGTTTCAAATTGTAGCACATCTAAAACATTTTAAACTATGCTCTCATCTTTCATTAAACTGTAAAAAACAAAGTTATTATTGCAAAACAAAAACATAAGGTTTTAAAAACATTTTTAAATGCTAAGTTTTTCTTAATTTCCTAGATGTTTTAATTGTTTTGACTTAAAAAGAAAATCTTTGGCACTTTTCTGTAAAAATGCTATATTGAGAATAATAAAAATCTATTTTTTTTTTTTTTTTTTTGAGACAGAGTCTCACTGTGTTGCCCAGGCTAGAGTGCTATGGTGTCAGCCTAGCTGACAGAAACCTTAAACTCCTGGGCTCAAGCAATGCTACTGCCTCAGCCTCCCAAGTAGCTGGGACTACAGGCATGCACCACCATGCCTGGCTAATTTTTTTCTATATACATTTTCAGTTGGCCAGCTAATTTCTTTCTATTTTTTAGTAGAGACAGGGTCTCACTCTTGCTCAAGCTGGTCTTGAACTCCTGAGCTCAAACTAGCCACTCAACTCGGCCTCCCAGAGTGCTAGGATTACAGGTGTGAGCCACATGCCCAGCTTTGAATTTCTTCAAAAATCTATGATCTAATGACTAGAAATAATTTACTATCTGGAAATTAGTAACCTCAACTTCCAGTTACTCAATCAATCCTATTTATTATAGATCTGAATACTTGTACTTCTTAACAACAAATTAACAATGTTCCAATTTTTTCTTATGCTTCAATTTCAATATATGTAGGTGGTTCATCAAATGAGTAAGAGCCAGAAGTTTGAGGTTGCAGTGAGCTTTGATGATGCCACTGCACTCTAGCCTGGGCAACACAAGACTGTCTCAAAAAAAAAAAAGGATTAATTGGGAATAAGATATTTTAACTAGAGCTTACACAGATTTGCTTTAACACTATTTTTTTAAAAATTCTAAAATACATTAATTTATCTCATTAAGAACTGTCTCAGATACAATGTAATTATTCACTGAACATATAATTTGGTAAGATATTACTTCATGGAGTTTTTTATTATTTATTTTTCTTCTGAATCTTAAAATTAAAAGGCAGAAAAAATATGGCTAAGAAAATTTGTAAAAGCTAGTGATTATTAAACACCATTTCAAAACATAAATGCAAAAGCAAACAACACACCTGATTGAATGATGAATCACTATCAGAGCAATTGTCTGTGCAATAACTACTGCTTTTCTCCTTTTGTATTTTTTTCTGTCTCTCTTGACTTTGTATCTCATCTTCCTCAAACCTGTTAATCATAGAGTCCACCACAACAATCATAGTGCTCTTCAGGGAATGTATCATTTCTTTGTACCTTTAAATTCAAAATAATCTTAATAAGAGAAATTTCTTACTAGCAGAAATTAAAACAGCCAATTATGTTAAATTATCTGATTATTTTTTCTATAAGAAGGAAAGCCACTTTAAGAACACAATGCTAAAGAGAAAAAACTAAGTCAATTTTTCTTAAAGAAAAATAGTACAACAGAATTAACAAGATAGAAATATATATATATTTATATTACTATATATTTATATTTACATATATATATATGTTAATAGGGAATCCAGAAAGTTTGTTATTTCCTGAGTTTTTTCATGGTTATATGGACCAAGTCAGTATAATCTTAAAAATCTAAGGCATGATGTTTCAATTATATAGGTTCCAGTTGCTAGCAGCAAAGTTAACTGTTAATATTATAACCCCAAGCTATTTTATACTTCACTTTAATCTCGTTTTATTTTTATCTCTTTCTTTATACTTCCTTCCAGATCTAAGAATTAAGCTCTCAGTGAGTCCTTTCAAACAAGAGGCTAGAGAACCCACGATCAGAATGTTAGGAAAGGGATTCCTGAAATTGTTAAAAGTTTGAACTGGGTAACATCTAAAATCTCTTTTGGTTCTATAGGTCTAAAAATCTCAAAAATAACTTATAACAAATTTCTCCATTTTTTTAAGTTCACATTCTCAAGCATCCATATAAATACTAGACTGAGATCCCCAAAAGCTCTAAGAATAGAATTTTAGAGTTAGAAAAGAACCATAAATATAATGTAATCCAGCTCTTTACAAATGAGGAATACATGACCTAGACCACTGAAATTTCTATATTTAAAACAGAAAAGGCATAAAGATTTTTAAAACATAATGAATGAATACTAAATTTGGAATCAGAGAATCTGAATTAGAATCCTAACTACTCTACCCACCAGCTCTGTCATAGTAAATAACTCTCAATTTCCCCAACTATAAAATGAGATATACATGCTGGGCACAGTGACTCATGCCTATCATCCCAGATACTTGGAAGGCTGTGGCAGGAGGATCACTTGGGCCCATGAGTTAGAGGCTGCAGTAAGCTATGATTGTGCCACTGCACTCCAGCCTGGACAACAGAGAAAGAACTTGTCTCTTAAAAAAATATTTTATAAAAAGTGAGAGTTGTCATGTTTTCCCACTGCTCAGGCACCTAAGTGGCTCCCTAATGTCCGTGGTATCTACTCAGCTTCCATTCAGCTGGCCAATTTTCAGCCTCATGACCTCTGTAGTGAATAGACATATTTTTTAAAGCACTAAATCAAGCAGAAACTATATTGTTCCACATCCTCCATCAGGCCAGAAAAGTAGGCAAGCAATTAACAATATATATGGAGAACACTGTTAAAGGGTTAAAGGTCAGACCTGTTATGGAACACAATTTCTGCCCTTAGGAATTTATAGTGAAAATCAAGGGGTCAGAAGAGAAGTAACTGTAAAAAGAACACTACAGCAATTCTTACAGGGCAACATACACTAATAAGGCAGCTACAGAAAAACAGGCTCCTCACTGATGTCCAATATCAAACAATTGTACTACTCTGCACAAGCCACTTAATTGTCTATTAAATGAGGGGCTTAGAACAAATTATTTCTAAGGCAATTTCTAGCATCAACATCCTAAAGTTCTGCAGAGTTAAAATTAATTTAATAAAAACTGAGCTCATAAATAGCTAATTTACCTCTTTTAGTCTTCCATAACTACTATCAGACTAGGTTGAAGGGCCTTTGTAAGAGAGTTTGTTAATTGCCCTCAGTAACCCCTCCCTGAAGTTTTTACTATGGTACATGGTTATCAGACAAGTATTAAATTTCCAAATCTCTGTTGCAGATAGAAGTGAGCACATGACAATGCTTCAGCCAGTGCAAAGTGAGTGAATACAGAATTTTGCCCTTCATTCTCTCTTCCTTTGGACAGGTTGAAACACAGTTGTATAATTAGTATGGTTGCTTCAGTCTCACAGATCAAAGTCATATGAAGGCAATCCCCTAGGCCCTGGGTTGGCAAAATATATCCTATGGACCAAATAAATGGACCTATCACCTGTTTTTGTAAATAAATTTTTATTGGAACACATGTACATTGTTTCCTTTATGTATCATCCATGGCTGTTTTCATATGAAAACAGTTGCCAAAGCCTAAAATATTTATTATACAACCTTTTACAGAAAAACGTTTGTGAGCCCCTGACCTAGGACATAAATGATGGATAACAAAATAATGGGAACCTGGGTCCCTGGATGAACTCATTGAGCAGATTTACCTACCCACCCTGTATTCATATATTTCTTAACTGTTATATAAAAGAGAAAAAAAAAGACTTATTTGAGATTTTGGTGTCATTTTGTTATAGCTGTTTAATGCATAGCTAATATATTCTTCCTGTATATTTTCATGTGGCCTTTTGCATATATCATGTTGTTGGAAAAATATGATTGAGAAACTAATGAGATGTGGCTCATAAGACCATCATTTTATTGTATAACCCAATATTACTATGTTAAAGACAGAAACATGAGTTTGCAGGGTTCTGCCCTAAAGGAATGTGTGGACTCAATGGTTCACTTATGAAAGGCTGCTATCATGGGAGAGCTCTCAAATCTCTGGTAGGAATATTTTCCAAAAAAGCTTCTTCCCAGTATCTCAAAATCTGTGAGCTTCCCTGTGTCTTAAAGACAAGACAAGACAAACGTGGCCCACAGGATGGGAGCCAGAGACAATGAGTGCACTTTGCCCAAAAAAGCACCCCAGTGGTTATAAACAACCTGTTTTATTAGAGATGGGCTTCCTGTTCTCTCCTGTGTGTCTACCTTTAAGTCCACCATAACTAATCAAAACAATATACAGAGTCACTATACCTCTTTTGTTTTACCTTTGTTAATTGACAACTACTACCTCTTTAAAAGTTAGCCCCTAAAAGGCTTTGTTCCTCTACATAGATTAAAAGCCCCTTAAAAAGACTTTTGACCCTAACCCACTACCTGTATCCCCTAGCAACTACATTCCCTAATATGCAAATATGTTACCCTGACAACTGGTAATTGATGTCTGTGATTATAAAAACCTGTATAAATCTAACCATATTGCTGGCAGTTGTAAAGATCCGCCAGTCTCCTAAAAACCTCCTGCTGTGTTATATCTAATCTTTATATCTATATCTATCTATCTATATCTATATCTATATATATATATATATAAACTATACCTTAGTCTCTGTGTATTCTTTTATTTCTCTCTGTTGCCTATCAATTTCCTTATCCTTTGTGGTGACCCCTATCTTAGGGACTTGACTCTGTAAAAAAAAAAAAGCAGCTGATCTCCTCACGGGCCTGCCTCCACTACTCTCATCCCACATCATGTCACTTATCATACTGTTTGGAAACTATTTCAAGTTTCTATTTCAGCATCAAGTCTCCATTATGCTATAGATTATTGGACAGTAGAAGACATCTTACTCATCTTTATAGCCCCCAAATCTAACACCTGACATAGAGTAGTTATTCATTAAATGTGTTCAGAGTATGACTGGTAAGAGAAAAGAAAAGAGAACATAATTTATTGCTAAAGCCAAAATTATTTCAAACATCCATAACATAAAATTGGTTATATTGGCAAGAGACACTTTCATTAATTCATTCAACAAATACCAATTAGGCACCTAATATATACCAGGAATTTTCTAGACATTACGATACAGAAATAGAAAAAAAGACAATATTATCTATTAATATATTTGTATAGTTTCATTCTAGCAAGAAGACATTGAAAACAAGTAGAAAATAAGCAAACATATTATCCTTATTAATTAGTGGCAAAGGATCTAAGAAGAAAGATAAAGCAAAGTAAGAAAGAGAAAGAAACAGGGAAAAGTTATTGTTTTACACAGAGAGGTCAGGCAAGGCCTCAGTGATAAGAAGACATTAAATTAAGACCCCAAAAAAGTGAAGGAACAAGTTACACAAATATTAGGAAAAGAGCATTCTAGGTAGCAGAAGCAATGGGAGTACAAATCCCTCAGGGAGGGCCTTGCTTGACTTGTTTAGGAAAGAGCAAGCAAGATCAACATGGCTGGCGCAGTGTGATAGGGAATATGGTAAGAAATGAGGCAGAAGGGAGAGGAGAAGGCTCACAGTGGGCCTTGTCTGGACACAAAAAGAACTTTGGATTTTACTGTGAGTGAGATGGGAAGCCTTTGGAGAGTTTTGAGTGGAAGGGTGTTGTGATCTGACTTATTGTTTTAAGGAATCATTCTGCCTGCTATGAGGGAAACAGACTGCTGGGGGCATGAATTAGGGATGCCATCAAGAAGTTCTGTGGAAAGAAAAATTACTTTAAAATATTTTTGTAGACATACTCACTCTTTAGATTCCTGAGTTCTTTTAGTAACATGCTGTACAACCGTGTCATAGCCAGATTCCTCAACCTGATTCTGATCAGATGTGTATTTTTCCATTTCTTCTTCAATCATAGCCCCCAACGTATTACATATATGCTGTCTAAGGTATTTCACAAATTCATAGCTGAAACAAATATTTTAAAAAATAAATGCAGTAAATATCATGAGCTTACTTACTAACCATATCCACAAAAAAATGTGAGCACAGAAAGATTTGTAACATATCTAAGATCTCTTACCTTAAACTAGGATTAAATGAGTCATTCATCACAAATCCTTAAGCTAATCTACAGTTTTGCTTTGCCTTTTTATTTTTCTAAGACACATGGCAAATATTATCATTTAAAAATTACCATGGTAGGGAAAAGCAAATTTCAGGGGCAGCCCAAACTTTAAAGAGTTAGAAGTTTCTTCACATTTCTTTTTTATATTCCAATCTTTAATATGTGATGTTTAAGGGTAGGGAAATCAGCTGTTAAAGATTTTCCAAGTTATTCAAGCTTATGAGGAAAACCAGACTGAAATATAGTAATTATGAAAAAATAAATAGGAAAAAGGTGAGTTCTATCATAAGTTTGGTGCACATTTTGAAAGTGGTAACTTACCTAATTTCTATCTAAACAGTTATTGTCTATGACTAGCATTATTAGTAAATTTAAGATACATTTTGCCGTTGACATTTAAAGCCCTTTTAGATCCCAATTTATTTTACCAGATTTATGTCCTATTACTACCCTCACACATTTCCCAGCTCCCCATGTTTTCTATTTCCAATATCTTTGATAATATTATGTTACCCATTTAGTGTGTTTCACTACCACTCCTTCAGCTAAATTATCTCCTGCAAGCTAAAATGCTACATTCTGATAAAGTCTTTCCTAATAATGTTTTTCTCTTCTAAGCTCCAAAAGTACTTTATCACTCTCTATCAGCTCTCAAAATATTCTGTCTTGTATGTATACAACTTGAAACATCCTCTGCTTGGCTCCTGACCACCTCTAAACCCAGATTTTTATATGATTTCTATGCTTGACAAAAGGGTAAATCCACTTGACTGTATATCATCTGCAATTCCTTGTATATAGCAGACACTTTATAAATACTTGTTGGATTGAAATTAAGCACTGGGAAGGGTTTATCTCTTCATTTCCTACATCAGTTGCTGCCAGTTTGAATTGCTTATCCTTTCTAAATATTTGTTCTAGTGGTTAGTTCCTTGTTCATTTAATGCCTATAACAAATTTCAAATAACATTATGCTATAATTACCCCTATACATGGCCTCTTATTCTTCCTATATTCCCCTATAAGAAAAAAAGAGAGAAGAGAAAAAAGAGAGAAGAGAAAATGTGGAGTAAAAACAAATCTCTTTCCAACTACCCACCACATTTTTTGGCACTAACATTATATTTCAAGACTTCCAAACCGTCCAACATAGAATGCTCTTTAATGTCTCCATCTTCTGTATCCCATACCCACCCACTTGATCATATCCATACAGTCACCAACACTTGTAATGTTTCCTGTATATCCCTTGATTTCATCACTTCCTTTTTTTCTATTTCTATCAATCAGTACGAAAACCACATCACCTATCACTTCTCAGCCTTTTGATGAAGATCCAGTGTGCGCAAAACCACATCACCTTACATAGAGATTACTACAGCAGCCTTCTTGTCTTTTCACTTTTACTCTTTTCCCTCTCGTATTCATTCTAAATGCTACAGCCATATTAGTCCTCAAAAATCACTGATTTCATTATTTTATTCAGAGGTAGAGGCATTTTACTCATACCAATGCATGCACATAATGCCTCGATAAATATTTTTGGAATTTAAAACTAGTTATTGGATGCCTATTATCTTTCATGATCAAATACAGCTTCCTTGGCCTGGAATTTAAATACTTAGTCAATCAAATGCCTTTAACAGGGTATCTCTACTGTAATGGGGTCACATTCAATATTCTCAACAAACTAATAACCATGTTGATTTGCATATAACCAAGTAATAAAGTTATAAGTGACTACCATCTAGACTCTGTACTAAGCACTTTATTAATATTATTTTATTTACCATTTGATAGGTAAAATAGACACAGATACAGATTCAAAAATTAAAGAGCCTTATCAAATTCACAACTATTAATTCATTCACCTTACTCCAAAGCCCATGTTAATTCCATACTCCCACCTTCTCCCAAAGATGTAAAAATTCCAGAAATGTTTACATGATATTTTGTAGTGGTAAATTGAGAGTGGCAAGGGAAATAAATAAATGCAATACACACATTTTTATCAATTTGTATATAACTTAAATTTCTTTCATTTGGGAAAGAAAATTATATTTTATTTTCTCAAAATTATAATTGGCATATTAAATTTAAAGTATAATTGACTTAAAAATTGAAGTTATTCATTAAATGTACTTAAAATGTTTAATATTTATACTTGATGTTCAGCTAGTAACTTCTAAGCCTCAAGGGAATAAATATTAAGTATAGCAGAAAAGGAACATAAGGTTATTTTGTAAATTTAATGTTCTGCAACATTAGGTCAAAACAGCAAACATTAATTTTCAGAAATGTAGTCGAAGAAAAACAAAATCCAAAGCTTACTGAATCGTATGTTATAGAAAACATCCTCTAATCACCATCTAAACAGTTTGTGCTTCTTCTGGTGATTCATCATTGCCTTATATTACTAGAAAATCTTCCTATATGTGTCAAACTTCCCATCCATATTAAAAGTTACCTTATGTTTTATTTATGTATCTAATTATAAACCAAATCTTTGCACATTCTATATAAAACAGTGAAAACTTACACAGGCAAGAAAAGAAATTCAACAATTAAGGTTTCAAGAGAATCCTTTAAAGATGTTCTTAATTTTGTAATATTTGACAATCCCCATACTGCCTTTACAAAAACACAGCTGACTCTGAGAAAGAGTTGGCAGATGTGCATGATGAGATCTCAGGAGCCAAAAAAGGTGTAAATTCTCCACCACAACATCCCTGCACAACCAGGAACCTTCTTAATCAAGAATCAAATTATCTGAAATTTCAATACCATAAAAGTATCATTGCTTTCTTTGAAATTACTTTAAAAATGAAAAAGATCCTAGAATAATCCTTTCATCCAACCACTGTGACCTTGCATCCAGCCTCTCCCAACTGGGAAAAGGGAGAAAAAAAGTAAATGTGAAAGAAAGTAGAGAGAGAGGAGTTTGGAGGTCCCTAAATATTATCAAGACCCTCTTTTCAATCCTGCCCAAAGTCAGCCAATCAGACACACCAGTTTTCCTACACATCTCTGAAATATTTAGCAGAAAATGAAAGATGGGGCTAGCCTGAGTTATTCCTCTGAAATTAAAGGAAGAGCCTTCCTGAAGATTCTACATCACACTATCAATACCTACCAGGCAAATGCAGAATTATCCTTGTTCCTTAGTTTTATCAGCCCTATATCTGCACCAAATATCAGCCAATTAGGAAAAATGAATATTTAACTGAGAAATATAACTTTTCTGTGTGCTTTTTTTTATGAAACCCAACTTATAAGCAACACAAATGATATTTCCATAACTGAGGCAGTGAGAAAATATAATACAAGCCCACTAACATAATTTATTCAGTAAAGTGTAGAGAATGCCATTCTAAAATAAAAGACATCAAAAAAATCCCCACCATTTAGCATAAGCTATAAATAGCAAATATGTTGGAAAAAATTATCCCAAAATTTGGGGAACTTGAATAACCACATGCTTTTTTCTGGTGACATCATTTTACCTATGACCACAGAAATATCTCCTAGAAAACTCAAAGTGCTTCAAGTTTTGGTTCATCTTCCAAATTAAATGAACCTAAGGACCCCAAGGTTAAATCTTAAGAGGTTATTGCTCTGCTCAAAACAATCTTCTAAGAAAAAGAAAATCTCCAGGGATGGTAAGGCCCTTTATCATATGAGGATTACTAGACTGCCTACGCACTTAGGAGGCTATACTGACTCACCCATCATTGGAAAACTTTGAGAGCCTTCAATCCCAAATTAATGAATAAAATCATTTCTTCAAGCGGGCTCTTCTATTCTTTAGGTAAGAGTAACCCAAGACTTCAAATTCTCATCCAACAATTCATTTTGTGTTGGTTCTTTTTCCATCTGAATTCATGATAGTACCCCATAAAATCCTAAGTAAAGTTGTTCTTCCATAATGGTGCCCCAGGATAGAAAATTGTTTCTATGGCTTGTAGAAATAATTCTATAAAACTAAGTACTATGTTGCCTGCATTGTAACCATGATAGTATTGGTGCCATCCACTAGTTCTTATGAAATCTATATCTAATCCAAAAAATTGATGGTAACTATATATTTTTATCAAATATTCCCATTGCATCATTTTTAGAAATTAATCTGGAGGTAGAACAATATTCTACTTATGTTCTATAAAAGTAAAACCTCTGGATGCCTCAAAGAGACTTTCAAAAGGTCACTATACTTATTTGAAGGATTGCAAATTCAGATGCTAAAAAAGGTAGACAAAGGTGAAGCAAACCATGTGTAACAGAGAAAAGGATAGACGCTTTAGTGAACTGAAGAGGACATGCCCCAGCTAAAGGGAAAGCTTCCACATGGCTCCAGCCACTTGTCTTAAAGGAATATGAGCCTGGTGTTAATCTTTCAATGTTTTAAGGAAAGCTAGAAAACAGATTTTTATGTGCTATCTCTCAAATTTTAAATGTTGTTTTTAGTCATTTATTTAAACCTAGCCAAAGAAAATATATGCACAGACCAAATATGGCCTGCAGGATGCCAGTTTAATCTTTCAACACCTTCTTTCCCCACACCTTACAAAACTCTGACTACTGAAGATACTGGTGAATTTCCTACATTTAAAATTTCTAGGAGGGAGGAGGGGATGGGTATATACAAACATAATGAGTGAGATGTGCAACATTTGGGGGATGGTCATGCTTGAAGCTCTGACTCAAGGGGGAGGAGGGCACGGGCAATATACATAACCTTAACATTTGTAGCCCCATAATATGCTGAAATAAAAAAAATAAAATAAAATAAAATTTCTATTTAAGAAATATAAAACCTCCCTCAAAAATCTACAAAATGCTTAATAACTATTTTAGAATATCCTTCCTAGGTTTAATTTAAATCAATTCTGCTATAATTTAGGTCCTTTCCTTTCAGATCTTTTAGCAGGTTGTTCTGTGTTAACATTTTCAGACTTCACATATTCTTATTGTGCTGAAAAGATCAAAACTATCATATAATAAGAATAATACAACTTTGACCGTCATGAGTTACAATCAATACAACTTCCATTTATTTCTATTTTAATTGAAGCCAATTAACAGTTCATTTTAAAGTTTTCTAATAACTGGGTTTGTTATAGTTTTGTAAAGGATATAATGTATATGATGAATCAACAAGTATTTAATTATTATACTTTTATTAATAGAAATCTAAGAATCAAGTTTGCTTCAGGTTGAAGTTTTGAAGCTCACACTGACCAGCCTTGTAACCTTAGGGAAAACACCTGACCTTGCTAAATTTCAGTTTCCCACTACTTAATGGTGACAATAATCCTATTGTAAAAAGTGTTATCACATATAGTGTGTTCCTATGCTTCTGATATTTTTCGAACCAAATACACTATACATATATTTGACTAATCTTATTTGTTACTTTAGAAGTAATTTAATGAGAAAAAATTAAAATTTGGTTTCAATGATGCTATTCACAAATGAATGCAAAACACCTTTTATAAAATATTCTTCAAAGAGGTACATTAAAACCTAAGAAAGCAGTTGTTTGCCAATAGGGAAACATGTGGAGCTCACCACACTTCAGAAGCAGCTCAATTTAAAATATACAGCAATGTGCCTGACCATTCATCAGTAGTAACTGATGACTATGAAATTTTTCACATCTACATAGAAAAATTTTACCAAGGTAAGTAAAAGAACATTTACTTTTTTCATTCTTTTTCTCCATCTTTATTAGATTTTCCAAGAAAATTTAATGACTTTTTTCCATGAGAAACTTCTGACATGTTCAGAATGTTTATATCAAAATATGCAGAGATACAAAGATCACTATTACAACATAAGGACATAAAAATCTAATCAGTACAAGTTTATTTCAAAAAATTATACTTTTAGCTATTTGAACAAGCAAAAAATATTTCAATCGCCCATAGAAAAAATTGTCACTAATGTTATTTTAAAAAGTATTTTATTACTATAAGTTATGAATTATAATGCAGATACTGGGGATTCCTAAAATAGGTTATATTTCAGAATCATACAATTTATTATATAACAAACTTGAGCTTACATATCAGTGTATAAAAGTAATAGAACAGGTATTTAACACCTTCTACAACTTTTGGGGCCAAAAAATAAGCTTCTGACTAATGATAAACAGTTACTAGAAATGCATTCATTAGTAAAAGCACATATCTCACTGTGTGATTTCAGAAAAAAAAAAAGTAAAAGCACACATAATCCTTGGCAATTTCTCTACACAGGTATACCACTTTACAGCATGAATGTTTTCTGTAAGTTATCACTTAAACACACTAATTAAAAAGTCACTGGAGCCAGGCATGATGGACCATGGTTGAGGCAGGATGATTGCTTGAGCCTATGAGTTCAAGACCAGTCTGAGCAACCTAATGAGACCCCATCTCTACAAAAAATAGAAAAATTAGCCAGGCATGGGGGCATGTGCCTATAGTTCCAACTACATGGGAGGATCACTTGAGACCAGGAGTTTGAGGTTTCAGTGAGCTATGATGATGTCACTGCACTCTAGCCCACGCAGGCAACAAAGAGAAAGAAACCTTGTCTCAAAAAAAAAAAAAAAGTCACTGGCAAATTCTTCTGTAAAACAAAGAATAAAACCCAATTCGATCAATAGTATTGTGTTCCATCTGTATCGAACCAAAAATATATCAGATGAGAGGGCTACAAAGGTGAGCCTCTGCATTAGAGATTGTTACAATCATTTAAAAAAACAATGAAACACTATTATTTCTCATTGAAATGGTGGTAACTATGCTCTAACTCTGTGGTCCTGAACTCTGACTGTACATGAGCCTCATCTAGGGAGCTTTTTAAAAAACTATCAAGGCCCAGCCTCTACCACTCCTCCTTTGCCAAGCCCCTCAGAAATTTTGATCATTTGTAGTTAGGCCCAAGCATTACTATTTTTTTAAACAGCCCCCAGCTCATTCTAGGGCAGCCAATGTTGACCAACAGTCCAGATTGTTTTACAGGGGGCCAGTCTGGGTGTAAAAATTTATGCAATACATAGAAACATACTGAAAGCAACATACTCTTCCCTATTTCTCTCCTCCCACAGGCCTCAAATCTTTGCTGCCATTCTAGAGAAAAGGAGGAGAGCGTGGATCTTTTGTAGATTGTGTACAGTTTAAGGTAGAAAAATAGAAGAGGCTTTGGAAAGCCGAGATAGCTTAACTGACCCATCAAACACAGGCCTAGATATAGCTGTACTGCCTATGCTGTAGTTTCTCCCAAAATGACTGCATTTTTCCCTACTTTACTACCCCAAATTACTTCATTTATGAACTCAATTGTCTTAAAAACCACCTTCTAACAAAAATATTAATAGCCCAGAAACAGCAGTTTCCCCATAAGTCTTTTAATAAGATTATTCTGTTGCTAATAACAAGCCAACATCAGTTGGACTTAGGAAACAATGTTCTGTTAGTGGAGATGGAAAAATGAGTAATTCCAAAGTATAAAGCACTTTGAGAAGGGAAGATACATCTAAGTGACTCAAGAACATTAAGTACTCAAGGAAAGTTAGGTCAGCAAAAAGAAAGAGAAATGAAAATATGAACCCCAGACTAATTGACCTTTAAGATACCTTCCAACTCTGAGATCATAAGATTCTACAATAATGCTAAAATAAGCATCTCCTCCTCTTTTCCTTTGCTGCATAAAAGAGTTCTTTCCTCTGAAGACACAGATCTTAGGCCAGTATAACACATTATGAATTTTACTACCTTTACTTTTAAGACTACAAACTACTTTTAGGATTCTAAATCTTACTTTTAAGACTACAAACTACCTATAATTAGAGTCTGGATTCTTTTAGGCAGGCCACAAGTAAATCTCTTTTGTAAATAGTAACTATTAACTATACCTGCCAATCAACCAGCATTTATGTAATCTACCTAATAAGCTTTTAAAGAAGAGTAAGTTACAGTATTATAAGAGTCAGACTTCTGAGAGGAAATACAGAGATCCAGTTTTAACTTGAAAAACATTTAAAATTGATACAGCTAAAGCTATACTTATAAGCAAATATGTAGTCTTAAATGCTTATATTGAAAAAGAAAAAAACCTACAAATTAATAAGCTAAGCATTCATCACAAAAAGGTTAAAAGGTTTCCCAAGTAGGACAAAAGTAAAGAGCAAAAATTGAGGAAACAAAAAAAACAAATAATAAAATTTTAAAAACCCCAAAAACTGGTTCCTTGAAAAGGCTACTAAAATTAATAAACTTCTAGCATGACATATCAAGAGCAAAAGTGAGAAGACACAAATAACAAGAATAAAAAGGAGATACAACTACAGATACTAGAAATATTAAAAAGGTAACAGGATATTCAGGAAAATCTTCTTTTAAATAAGTTTGAAAATTCAGATGAAATAGACAAATTCCAAGAACATAATCCTAGCAAAAACTGATTTAGCAATTTACAGATTATATAAACTGCATGTGAAATGAAAACCAGAACTGAAACTCCAAACTTAATTCTTAATGTGGATTTGTGTGAGGTAAATTATCATTACACGAGCTTACAAAACATTAATGATCAAACCCGTATTTGGGAAAGTTCTAGTTTTTCTGTACTACACTGCCTAAGTAATAAATCAATAGCTAATCCATAAAAACTGGTCTCTAGGACTCTAAAGAATGTTATCGTCCAATAACAGGTATTAGTGGATTTAACGAGGACATAAACAAGAAAATCATGGCAATACAAAAGAAACCATATGTATAATCAGAAATACTAAATAAATTAGAAACTCTATATTAATAAGGATTCCTTCCATAATTTTTTAAATGCCCTTGAGAATCTGGGGAAATCTTTAAATGTCCCCCCCATAAAACTGCAGGTAGACTCAAAACTTGTGCATAGAATTTTAAAACACTCAAGGATCCCCTGATGCCCATATGTGATATTGGTAGGAGTTCAAGATAAGTAAAACTTTAAGGTATCCAAGAGTCAATAAAGACAGCATAAGTAGAAAACTTTTAAATGTCGTATGTGTGAGATCAAAATGAAATGCAAACATTGGATTAAAAATACTACTATTAATAATGAGTTTCAACACCTGGAGGTAGACCTTTGACTTGAGACGCTTAACTGAAATTATATGGACCAAATCAAAAGAAAAATATAGGTCTCTAAAGATCTTCAAGGTCTACTTCAAACATCACCTCTCATTTAACTTCCTTTCTCTACTGCTCCCACACGCAGCACTCTGTATCTCTTCTCTGGCACTTATATCTGGCATGTATCACAGATATTTGCCTATGTGGTTTACTCCTTTATAGGAACTCAGAAAGTATTCCAAAGGAAGCTAATAATCTCCTCACTTCAGTATTCCCTTGCGGTGCTCAGAGTGGATAATTGGTACACTACTAAAATATCAGAATAGCAAAGGAACAGAGATCCTGGGGGATCGTTGCTGTTAGATACTGTACAGTGACAGAAATCCCTTGAAATAGTAAAAATGTTCGTAAAAGAACAGGACTAATTTACAATTAATGTTACTGGGTTGCCCAAGGGGGAAACAGAATTAGGATATGTTGATTGTGGCAGTAAAAACGCAGAAGAGGAAGATGCTTTAGAAAAGAAGAATAAATGATAAATAAATTCGGCATTTGGGCAAACAAAAGAATAAGTGAACCTCCAACTTGGACACTATTTTAACAACAATAATCAAATGAACATTCTTTAACAACACTTTGACCTTTCCTGGATTAATGATTTGCTTAAGACATCAAAAGTAATTTTACTTGTGAAAATTTTCATCAGTTTCCTCCAGATGTAAGAGGATCTCCTCGGCGCACTCCAGGGAGGGAGCACCCGTGATTTTCTCCTTCACGCTCTGAAACAACTGCCTCAGCATCGCCTGCAGCATCGCCTCGTCCTCCCTGGAGAAATGGGCCATCATCTGCTGGAATCAAACGCCCACTCCCATTACTCCGGGTCTGAACAAACGCCGCGCACTGCGCACGCGCACCCCGACGTAGCCCCGGCTGGCGCGCAGCGTCGTTCCCTGGGAGACCGCGGCGAGCGCTTGTGGGTGGACCCTCGGCAGCCCGCGCGACGTTCTGGAAACCAAGTCACCTTACTTTGACGAGGCAGGGGTCTGCGAGGGCCCGCCTTTCGTACTCGTAGTTGCTAGCCTTCAGTACCAACAGAGCTCAGACTGCCGCTGCCCCGACTAACTGCAAAAAACAACCAGGAAGCATCTGATGGGAGGACCAGACGGCGGAACGTCAGCGCTGCGCATGACGTCAGCCCGTTGACGTGGCTTCCCGGGTGGAGGGGAGTGCTACCTAACGACCTTTTGGGGCTCCTAGAGTACGTTGGGGTACGCTCGCGCTGCCTAGCCTCTGCGACGTAGGTGGGAGGGAAGAGAGTAGTAAGAGAAAGGAGTCAGTAAAAGAAAGATAACGAGCGAAAATGAAAATTCCAATTGAAGAGTGAATGGTATTGAGATGTGCACTGATGTTTTCCTTTAACAGCTAACATCCATTGAGCTTCTATCCTTACCAACCACCTTGCTAGAAACTATGAAGAAGACTACCTCATAATCTAACAGGCAGAAAAAGAAATTAACAGTTGCATTACAGTGCAAGTAAGTGCCATGCTTAAAAAAAAAAAAACTCCGGGTAACCTAGAAGTAACCCTATAGAGGAGCGAGGAAAGAAGCAACGAAAACAAATGACATGCAAAAGGGTAGGAGCCTGAGAGTGTAGGATATATTGATACTTGCGTTAGTAAGGTTAAAAGAGGAGGTGAGGAGGCTACAAAAGTAAATTGGCCACATCTAAAAGGGTCTAATACCCAGCATGTATCAGACATTTGCATATGTAGCTTACCCCTTAATAGTAACTCCAAGTATCCCAAAGGAAGCTAATAATCTCTTTACTTCCGTATTCTGAAGGGATTAGAGATTTTCCTGCAAGTAGTGAGACACAACTAGATTCCATAGAGACACCATGAGCTAACACAAATATCACTCTGCAAGAAGCTGCAATAGATAATCACAGCCCCTCATCCAGTTTCTAATCTAGATAAATTCCCCAACCATGGACATGTCCAAGTTACAAGGAGCTATCCCAGCAGAGTATTAAGCTCAGAGGCTGCTATCTAGAAAATAGTCAATCCCAAGTCACTGATGTGATGAGTAGTTCGGTGTCAATAAATTATCCCTTATCCAGCCTTATATTTTACTCCACTTACATCAGATACACTTTACATATTAGCCAGGATTATAGCATAAATTCCCTTGATGTTTATCTTATTGCTTTCAGGAGCAAAAGTATGATATATCTTTTCCAGTTCTAGTAGCATGTTTCCTCATAAAATGCACTGTTGATCTTGATTGTCTCACTATTGTATTTGGGGGAAAAACATTAGGAGAGTAGACAAACTTTGTAACTTTATTTGTGGGTTATACATTAAAGCCCAATATGTATACGTGCATATATGTAGTACACATGCATAGAATTCCCAGCAGTGTGACAGCTACATATTCAGACTAACACAGATGAGTTGTATTGGCAACTCAAACACCAAGATTAAGATAGCCATTAGTGATATGATTTTCTGAAATAGTAAATAAACTATTATTGACAAAATCCCTTGATTTACATAGTTTTTGGATTCCTGAAAAATTCAGTGTATTAAAACTCTGACAAATATTATTTTATATAAATGGAATTCGTTTCTAGGCTCAGGTACTTATCAAGAACATTTCATCTACATGAATGTCCAGCAGAACCATTGAAAGTCATAAAGGAACCAGGAAAATTATTTTGTGGGGGCAATTATCCTGTGTGTATTTCCAGATGTTTAGGGTCCCTGTCTCTCACTACAGATGCCAGTAAGTGCCCTCAAGCCATTGTAATGACAAAATGTCCCCACGTATTTCAAAATGCCTTTTAAGAGAGGGTAGAACTGCACAGATTGAAAAATACGGTTTAAATGATATATCTTAGAAGGAAGGAAAATAACCCTAAAAGAATACCTGACATACAAGAAGTAAAGAGGACAAAGAAAGGGGGGAAGAATCATTTAAGTAAATCACTATAAATACTGTCTACATAAAATAATCTAATCTAATTTGTAAAATGCATAGTATTAATATACTGGAAACAACTATTAGTAAGTACGAAGTAGAATGATAAGGTGAAATAAATACAGTGCTTTTAAAATGTGCTTTAAAAATGTGTTTGTATTTTATTTATTTATCATTATTACTATCATTTTTTGGAGACAGAGTCTCACTATGTTGCCCAGGATGGCCTGAAACTACCAGGTTCAAGCCATCCTCCCATCTCAGCCTCCTGAGTAGCTTGGACTACAGGAGCATGCTACCCAACCCACTGGTATGTGTGTGTGTAGTCCCAGCTACTTGGGATGCTGAGACAGGATTGCTTGAGCCTAGGAGTTTGAGATTGCAGTGAGCTATTATGACTGCATTCTAGCCCAGGCAATAGAGTAAGACACTCTCTCTCTCTCTCTCTCTCTCTCTCTCTCACACACACACACACACACACACACACACAAAAATAGTAGTTTTTTTCATTTTCCATTAATCTTGGCATATAATACTTAATATCATCTAAGTAAAGCTGCAATAATCTAATTTAAATTCTTCAGCTAGGATAGATTTACTCATTTAATGCTTTCAAAATCTTTTTTCCAGGCCAGTTTTTTAAATAGATGGATTTAAAATAGCCTTTATGTTTTGTAATATTTAATATGTTAGTGGAAATTTTCAAATTCATATGTCTCACAATAATATTATAAAACTGATCGCATTATTTCATTTCTCAGATGCTTTTCCTGTACATCCTAACCATGAGCATTAGAATAAGCCCTTTTAAAAATATCAAGGCACTAAAAAAACATTTGAATTGGAAAAAGTAATCTATGTAATAGAATTTGGCATTTCAGTTTTTCTGTTAAAGCTGAATAATCTTTTTTCTAATACAGATATAAAAAATTGCTACTATAATACAGAATGTTCACAATATTCTGGAAGATTAGAAAATTATAGTGAAATGTCAAAACTACTGTTAAACTACCAATAATAGGCACTGAGTAATTTTTAAAGCTTTATTTTACCATTTCAGTAAGGTTATTTTACTGTTAAGTGAAGTCATCGATATAATATACATTTATTATAACTAGAAACACCCTATAGGAAACATCGTACTATATTTTGATGACATAAAAATTGTTTGGCCTGTTAAGCATGACAGCTTGAACATGTGTATTTATTTCTGTTTAATATAGAAACCCCACTAAAATGATAAGGAAATACAAATGACATAAACTCATAAGGACAAAGAGGTTGTGAGAGATCACAGAGAATTTGGTTTGTGAAGACTGTAGGTCAGGGGTCCTCAAAACTTTTTAAACAGGGGACCAGTTCACCGTCCCCTAGACCATTGGAGAGTGCGCATAGTGGGCCCGGGACGAGTCACCCTCTAAGCAGGACAGGCAGTGGCGGCAAAAACACCTGGGCAGGATAAATGTCCTAGGCAAGTGGCATGTGGCCCGCGGCCATAGTTTGAGGACGTCTGCTGTAGGTGATGGTTTACCTACTCAGACAAAGGCTGATGGTTCTGGGAAGAATTTTTAGGAGTCATGGGTAAGTCTTACCTCATCCATGCAAAGAAGCATATTTTAGGAAGAAGACTTATGGTTCATGTAAGAATTTGCTGTAAGTCAAGCTATAACATACAAGAAGAGTCAAGTGGAGGCCTTATGTGTATTCTGAGTGTAGGCAAGCTTTATTTTACACTGAATAACAGTCAAAGGAAAATGGATAGAGAAAATGCAGTCTATATACGCAATGGAATATTATTCAACTATAAAAAGAATGAAATCTTATTTACAGCAGCATGAATGGAACTAGAGGTCATTATCTTAAATGAAATAAGCCAGGCATAGAAAGATAAATATCTCATGTTCTCAGTCATATGTGAAAGCTAAAAACGTGAATCTCATGGAGATAGAGAGGAGAATGGTGGTTACCAGAGATTGGGAAGGGAAAGGGGAAAAGAGAGAATAAAGAGAAGTCAGTTAATGGGTATAATAATACAAGTTAGCTAGGAGGAATAATTCTAGCATTCAATAGTACAGTAGTGAAATTATAATTAACAGTACTTCATTGTATATTTCAATATAGCTAGAAGAGAAGAATTTTCATGTTCCCAGCACAAAAAAAGAGATAAATGTTTGAGGTGGTAGATATCCGAATTAGGACCCTAGTTTGATTATTACATATTTATACAGTATCAAAACATCATATATACCCCAAAAATAAGTACACTAAGATATATCAATTTTTATCATAAATATATACTTAAGATATACTTTAAAAAATACTCTTGGGGATTAGAAATATAATTATCAACATTTTAAAAAAATTCAACAGAACTTCTATATGTTAATGTTGAGACTGTTTCCTATTAATTATAACAAAACTATAAAAAAAAAATTCACCCTAAAAAGGTAAGGTTAAATTATCTAAATCAAGAGATCTCTATTTGGCCAACGGAATTTTCAGAAATAAAAAAGAGATAATAGATGAAAAACAATAATTAAAGATATAATTTAAGAAAACATTAACAGAATGAAAAAACATAAATTTCCACATGGAAAATGCCTGCCAAATGTCCATAACAATGAATGAAAAAGAATATTAATACCAAGTGTACTAGAGGAAGAAAAGGTACAGAAAGAAGAACAGGACACAGATGCCATTAGAATTCTTAACAGACAATATTAGGGCCAGGCGCAGTGGCTTACACCTGTAATCCTAGCACTCTGGGAGGCCAAGGCAGGCAGATCCTTCAGGATCAGGAGTTCAAAACCAGCCTGAGCAAGAGACACTGAAAAATATACAGAAAAAATTGGCCGAGCGTGGCGGCGCTTGCCTGTAGTCCCAGCTACTCAGGAAGCTGAGGCAGAAGGATTGCTTGAGCCCAGGAGTTTGAGGTTGCTATGAGCTAGGCTGACACCACTGCACTCTAGCCTGGGCAACACAGTGAGATGCTGTCTCAAAAAAAAAAAAAAAAAAAAAAAAGTTCATAATTTGACTGTGGTAATCAGTATACAATGTATACATATATCAAATCATCACAATGTACATCTTAAATGTACATAATTTTAATTTATCAATTAACTATTTTAAAATTAAAAAAGAAAAAAGTAACTGAGCTCACTGAATTCAAATGTTTTTTTTTAAAAAAAGAAAAAGCATACAGCACAATGTAGTCTTCTATCTAGTGGGAAATAATTAATTTATTCCACTAATATGTCATTGTGTTTTCTTAGCTCGATAGGTTGGAGAAGGATGTTAATAAATAATAATATCTTTGATAATATCTTTGAAACTCTCTACCTTGTCCAATGGCCATTGATATAAAAATATATTACTCTCCAAGTTAGTAAACCAAAGAAAAAAAGCATCTTTTATATGTTCTTCTGTTGCTTGCTAGTTAACCTATGTCTAAAAGATGTCTGGTTCCACTTTTTGATATCAAGACAGAGCTTTCTTAGGGCAAAATTTTAAGACGAATATTTTCTTTTTCGATAGCACTAGAATAGACCTAAAGG